GAACCCCCCCCCCCCGCCCCCACCCCCCCCCCCCCCCCCCCCCCCCCCCCCCCCCCCCCCCCCCCCCCCCCCCCCCCCCCCCCCCCCCCCCCCCCCCCCCCCCCCCCCTTAGAGACAGAGAGAGAGACAGAAGCATATCATAGCCCTCCTAAGCTAGTTCTTTGCAATTACCACCTAAATGAGGTATCAAACCCTTTACATATAATATAGTAAGAGAAAGGGCAGTAACGTAATCTATGTGCTGCGTACTATCATCCATAGCACCGTATACATTACCTCAACTATAGTGTATCATAGTAGGTTTGATGTACCTTTTTTGTGGACATATTCCGACTTTCTGTGCATCGTCTAGCGGCTTTGCGAACATATACAAGAAACAACCAACTTTACATGAAGATACCTACTTATCTATCTTCTCTATCTCTTGACGCGCCGATTTAGTCGTTGTAAAATCCTGTCTCCCAAACCACCAAACGGCCACTCTTCCGCTCATCATCAGTGAACAAGCCATTCCACGCGCTCCAGACCTCCCGAGGCTGGATCTGATGTCTAGCACCGGGGCCGTCTGAGTCGAAGTACATGCGCAGTGGCGTCTCTATGCCTTCGAAGCCGACGATATAACGAGCCATGTGCTCCCCCGGCGCCGCGCGGGGCCATATGTCCTTGGCTAAGAAGCCCACGGGATCCGCATAGAACCGGCGCGTCTCGTCCTGGTACTCGGTGCGCTGGAGGGAGTTAGGATCCGTGTCGAGGGGTGGCTCGCAGGTCAGCGCCCGGGCGCTCAACGCCGGGTAGATGAGGTGGGATCGCCATGGTGTCGCGTGACAGGGCGTTAGAAAAAGAGCGAAGAGCTCTTGGGGTTGGTTGATACCATCTTCAAGGGGGGCCGTTGCGTTGAGGGAGGCACGTGCGAACTTCAGATATTCCGGATGTACGCGCTCAAATTCGCCTCGTAGGAACGACATCACTTGAATCGGCGCCGCGGCATGAAACCACGACAGGTAACCCCCAATCACAATATTGACTAGCAAAATGGCGGCGAGGAGAGGCTTCCGCTTCCAGCCAAGTGCCGGGGCAGGACAGGCCGTGACACCAGAGACAGGTAGCGTCGTGAAGAACGATGTTGCATATGGCGCAGCGAGGATGTGAAGAGCAGGTAATAGGGGCTGAATGAAGCGTATCTCCTTATGGGACACTAGTGACAGAGTGGATATGGTGGTGAAAATGATAAAACTAAGAGTCTTGAGCGTGTTCGAGGCAGTGACAGAGAAAGCGGATTCTGCATCGAGCGATTTGATAAGGCCCTGGAGAACAAAGGGCGTTATAGTCGTACAGAGTAGGGGAATCCCTTGCGATAAATAATAATGCCAGTCATTCTGCCCGTAAAACTTCGCGAGGTCTTTGGTAACGTTGAAGTACAGCCATGAGAAGGGAGGGAATTTCCATTCTCCGAAGTACTGGCGGTCACAAGCTAATGAGATGCCAAGGGCGATAGGCCTGCAAATGTCAGCCGTAGTTCTAATCTCCATGATCTATGTATGATCTTACCCGCAGATCAATGCTTCCCTGAAAAGGATGAAGAGCACTCTACCATCCAGGGGAGAACTACCGCTCAGCGTAAAGCGAGTTAACATCAGAGTGCAGACTGCTACCCAGATGAAAACATTCGTAGGCCTCAAAAGTACTGCGAAGGTTGCTAGTAACAGTGATAGTCGAAAGCTGCCAAGAGAATTTGTTAAATGATGTCATTATATTGGTTAACATAAGGATTACCTGTTGACTTGTTTCGGCGAATTCAGGAGGACAGGAGAATCTCCAGACTCGCTCTTTTGAGCAGATTCCGTGCCAAGAAGCTCCCATGGCCAATAGTACAGGGCCATGGCAGTCAGCATGGTTTCAAAACAATTTGAAAACGTCCTCGTGGCCGTATACCATTGCCACGGGTTGATTAGTGCCATTACTAACTATTAAGTCACGTCAGCCATGTCCGAGTAGCCGCTCCGGAGAAGAGCGTGGACTCACGACAGACCAAGCAGCCGCGCTCCTCGGTCCATAAAGCTTTTCGGCCAGCTTCCAGGTGTACCAGTCACTCAAGGCCGCAAATGCAGCCTGGAGCACCTTGGGTGCCATTAGAAGCCACTTGGCCTTGATCGTTGGGACATTATGAGATGTCCAGAAGCTATCCACAATGAAGTACCCGAATGCGAATACTGTAGGATGTATCGATGAACGCAGCGCATGGCGCCATTCCTGTCGAGCTATCAGCAAGGCTTTCCATCGCGAACCAATTCGTAAAGAACAGGTGATCCTATATCGACGCACCCATGTTAACCAGGCGCCGCTGTTCTCTCCATAAACCAGTTGCCATGCCGGCTCGAGGACCTGAAAATATTCGTCTGGCTGGAAAAAAGTACGGACGCAAAGAGAATTGGCGAAGCGAACGGCAAAGATAACACTGAGGACCTCCCGAGCCCGTCGCGAAACGAGAGCAGCTACATTCATGTCTTGGTTGAGATTATCATTGGTGCTAGAGGCCTTCTTTTCGAGGACTTTCTTGGGGCTCATCTCGCCACCATCTCCGGTAATTGTGGCCTTCCTTTATCGCTTGCCTCTTATTTTTAGAGATATCATTCGAGAACAGGTCCAAACGATTATAAGATCTACTGAGCAAGATAAGAGTTGAGGCTATCTGGCTTTCTAGCTTGGGACTAGCAATTCATCCAGCGTCCAGGCAATTTACGGAATTTGTCCCAATCGATATGGAATGGATACTATCTAGACCCATATCCCGATTCAGCTACCCATATGTACATACATGTACATGCAACGCTAAGTACATACATATGTAGATAGCTATGTATGGAGGTATGTAGGTACCTCAATAATATTAGTACATTAAGTACGCCGACCGTTTGGGGGAGGGGAGGCGAGGGGAACGGGTACCTACGAAGTAAGTATGTACCTAAGCTCGCCTAAGGCAGCTGGAGGTGGTACCTAGTACTGACCTAGCATGCGATCGTGTAGGTACCTACAGTGGATTCAGTATCCCCGTCATTACGTTGCCGAAGTCAAATATGTGGTGCTTGATTGGCCTGGCCGTTGACAACCGCTTGGCCGACATTTGTTGCCAAGCCTGCATGCTTCCCCCGTGCTTTCGGATGTGGTACTTCGCTCCCGCTACCGGCCCCTAAGACCGCTACCTGAAGAAACCCACACCGGCTGCGGCTGCGGATTTTCTCACTATGAGTAAAAGCTCAAAGTTGTTTGTCTGGTCGGAGTACCTTGTACCTCACACAGCCAGCGCCAGTGTACAGGTACAAGGCACTACGGACCTTGCCGTTACAGATCCCCGTTAACACCATCCTAAAAGTCGTGCAGCATTGGCATTGCTTCTGTCACCATGATATGGCGAGTGTGACGACTGTGACGACCATGACGACAGGGAGACAGGGAGACACGGCAACACAGCAACACAGCACCATGGCGGCGATACGGCAAATAACACACAATGGGACTGCCGCTTTGCTTCGGCAGCATGTGGAACATCGAAAGCTCATGTGACCCCTTTCGTCTGTAGTCGGGCCACAGCACTGTCTCGCGGCTGGATGAGCCGCATCGACTTGCACTTAGGGGTCTAGTGCACTGTACCGGCCCTATCTACTAACCCGGAAGTAAGATACGCCTCTGACATTACGTACGAGCCCGTGTATATACTTCGATCCGGCCCCGCCTTTTCATGGTCCTGTCGGTCTTCTATTCCTCGCGCTCTCTCTCGCCTTGCCGCATTCTTACTTATTGATTGCACTTTCCTTCACTCATTGCCCTCACTCATTTCCCAAGCCGTGTGTCACTGGACTGACACTCTCCGCCCTTCATCACCGTCAACTTCATTCTCGTCCAGCACTGACGCACCAACACATCTAAAGACAACCGGTATCCTCACACTTTGCAAACATGGCCCCCCACGCTGAAGGCTTGGCTAGGCGTTCTGCCAACGGTTCGACCAACTCGTCCAGGTACCACGCCTCGTCGACCAAGAATGCAATCGCTGCTGAGCACAAGTTTGCTGCTCACAACTACCACCCTCTTCCTGTTGTCTTCTCCCGTGCCCAGGGCATTGATGTCTGGGATCCTGAAGGCAAACATTACCTTGATTTCCTATCCGCCTACAGTGCTGTCAACCAGGGCCATTGCCACCCAGAGCTTGTCAAGGCACTAACGGAACAGGCTGGTCGTTTGACACTGAGCTCGAGAGCTTTTCACAATGACGTTTTCCCCAAATGGGCTGAGAAGGTCCAACAGATGTTTGGTTACGACATGGTTTTACCTATGAACACCGGCGCAGAAGCCGTGGAGACAGCTATCAAGATCGCAAGGAAGTGGGCATATAAAGTCAAGGGTGTGCCTGAGGGCAAAGCATTGGTCTTTGGAGTTAAAGAGAACTTCCATGGTCGAACGGTGCGTTGGACAGCACATGGTTCGTTGCTTAGCTAACACGCAGACAGATGATAGCTGTCACGCTCTCTACCGACCCTGAGTCCAAGGACAATTATGGGCCATATATACCAAATATCGGGGCCACCTCTCCGTCCACAGGAGAGCCCATTCGGTACAACAACGTCGCTGATTTAGAGGCGGTGCTTGAGGCTCATGGCAAAGAAACGGCAGCTTTTATTGTTGAGCCTATCCAGGGAGAGGCCGGTGTTGTTGTTCCTGATGATGACTACCTGAGAAGAGTTCAAGACCTTTGCAGGAAACATAATGTCTTGTTGATATGTGATGAGATCCAGACTGGCATTGGCAGGACAGGACGGATGCTCTGCTCGGAGTGGGCTGGGATCAAACCAGACATGGTGACACTTGGCAAGGCTATATCTGGTGGCATGTACCCAGTTAGCTGTGTTCTCAGCAGTAAAGAGATCATGCTAGTTGTCGAGCCTGGCACACACGGCTCCACCTATGGTGGAAATCCTCTTGGTTGTGCTGTCTCTATCCGTGCACTTGAGCTCATGGAAGAAGAACAGCTCACTCAGAAGGCTGAGAAACTAGGCAACATTTTCCGAGAAAGCTTAACTGCTTTGAAATCGCCAATTATCAAGACGATCCGTGGTAAGGGATTGCTGAATGCTGTCGTGGTAGATGAGTCACAAACGAGCGGTCATTCAGCTTGGGATCTTTGCCTTCTTCTAAAGGAGAAAGGCCTCTTAGTAAGTCTTCCAGGCGGTAGTTACACTATGCATACATCATGTGATGATTGTAGATGGATATACTAGTGCTCACCTTGATATAGGCTAAACCGACCCATGGGGATATCATCCGTTTTGCACCCCCGTTGGTTATAACTGAGGATCAGATGCAGAAGGCCGTTGCCATAATCGGCGCTGCATTGCAAGAGCTACCCAAGATGAAGAAACACGAGAATGTTCAAGTAGGACTGGAGAATTGATAGATGCAACGACGGTGTATAATTTACAGCCGCATCTTGAAGAACAACTGTACTGCTTGACCATAATGTGGCAGACTGCTTATGCGAGCTCTAGTGTATTCGAAAATAAAACTGGCTCAGTGGGAAACTGTGTGCGAGACTCAGACCATCAGCATGCCATCTTACTTCGGAGAGGATAGAGCATCTTCTCTTTGGAACAGGGTGTCGGGGTGTTGGTGGTGGGGGCGGGGATCACACTTATTGGATGGATATCAAATAATCAAAGGCACACTTTTAGGTTATATACCAACATTCCGAGTGTTATTGACAGCGAGCACGATTACTATGCAAAGTCAGAAAGTCAGAAATCGATTCTGACATATCATCGATCAGTGATTGCAGGAGAATTCCAGACCTATGCTACCAATAACCCCGCCTTGAATTAATTGCGACCAACAGACTTCCTTAGTTGGTGACAAGGTTATGCGCATCTCGGTCTCTCTGTTGTGCATGATAGGATGTGACTGTCCGCCGTCCCGCCTTCCGTATGATGGGTCTAGGCATGGCGAAACGTCGCTTAACACTATCTACTACTTAAGTGAGCTCCAAAGTGAATCGCATTACCGACAAGTGCACTTGTCCATGAGCGATGACATGACCGTCCTTCTATTTAAGTAATCTACATAGCCACAATTGGCTGTGGCTCGGCCAAAAGCCCCTTCGCTCGTGAACCTCAGTAAGGAGAATGAACATCAGCTACTTATTGGTTTAATATATCTCCAGCCGTGGAACGAGTTTATTATCTTGAATGTTTCGCTACGTGTTTTCAAAATGAGATCGACCTGCGGGATATTGATAATTTGAGCCGGGCTCCTGTGCGTGGTCATGTATCTGTCGCTCCCCTCAAACATGGATGAAAAACTGACAGCTAAATAGGCGCAGCTCAGTTCAGGAGTTGCGCTGCTGCGTGACGACCATGATAGGACGAGGCTTGTTCATACAAGTACGTTCCTCGTACTTAAACTTAAGTAGAGACTAGGCTGCCTCGTTCTTAAAACGATTCGCTATCGACATATGCAAGCATCACCTCAGCAAATGGCAGTCTGTCGGCTGCATAAACCACGTTCCATTCTCCCTCCCTCGTGATTCATGACGAGTTAAACCCCGCTCCGTCTATTCCTCCCTTCCCTCGCACAGGACAAGCATTCAGTACAAGAATTGGCGCCTTTTGATAAGTAGGCTGGTATGTAATAAACATATATATAGCGAGGAATCATCAACATCCCCTATGGATCAGACAGGCACCAGTGATAATTCTAGCCAAGACTGAGTCTGCCGACCACAAGAGAGATTTGGTAGGTGGGGATAAGGCAAGAGGAGAAGGACTACCTAGCGTAGGTACTAGGTAGTAGGTGGTCTCCCGATATTGCTACCCATTCGACGATGAGCAGTATGCATGTTAGTAGTTAGGATACATACATGGTAGTAGTAAATTCTTAGGGGTCCCATGAGGTTACTGTTGCCGTTTTGACACACAAGACTACTGCAACCTCCCCCATTATTCATGCAGGGATATTATAGCTACCGAGTGATCGCTAGGGAAAGCGAGTAGTGTCTAAATATTACAGAGCTCATTCGTGCAATGGCCTGTCTCATTGGTGAATGGAGAAAGATAGGATAGGCACCCTCGTGACCACAACAAGGACATTTGCCACCTCACATTGCGCATTGCCCGCGAACCAGCGCGCCAACCAGCCGTGGATTTTCAGATTTGGGGGCTACTCTCGCCAAAGCATATCATGTCATACATAGGTTATGGCGATAGATAGCAAAGTGATAAATCAGCCGTTGAGCTACAGTATGTCACCATTCCTCGCCGCAATCGTTAAGCTAGGCTTGCCCGCGTGATGTTACCTTCTCTATTATGCATAGGTATCAGAGGTAGATTTGTGCAGTTGATATGCGAGTATCGGCCCAATTCATTAGAGATTGTCTCCCTTTGATGTGGTCGGTGGCCTAAACAACAACCGAAGAATATCATGATGAAATCATGACCTTACCTTCGACTTGACTGACTAATGGGAATTCCACTAGCGTCGATCTGCTTATATCCCACCATATGTTGTTAGTTGAATTACTCAGGTGATTGATTGGCCTTAACTCTTCGAGTGACAGTCTTCTTCAACCGACTTTAGAAAGCTTCTCCAACGGATTGAATGTAAGCCAAGTCGCAGTCTTGAGAAAATGCCGACTTACATATCGCTTTACCTACTGTAGTAAATAGCTAGAGGCGTGAAGACGAGGCGACGGATTGAGATGGTGGCGTGTTGCAGCAACCCGTCCGCATCAAGGTAGTCCGACCTGACCATTTGCCTCTTACGGCAGGCCACGAGGTGTCTTGCATGAAGCGCTGGACAAAGGGGTACGGTTAGCGATCAATGTTGAGCTGTGGAGAGACTCTAAGATAGTACTAGACAGCCTCTTCCCACACCAGCCATAGGTACTCATATAGTACCTATAGGTAGGTGAGGATAGGGAGTCATGAGTGATACCTAGAGTAATTGTTCCTACATACCGTAGGTACTTAGGAGTTAGGACCTATGTAAGTAGTAGCGTAAGTGGTATATATCTTGAGATGGATACACGCGAGGCGGTGTAAAATAAAACCGTCACACTCAGACTACCTTTAGCATCTATATTGGTAACAGTTTTTCCTTCCACCGCCTCGACACGTACCGGGGTGGCTGAGAGGTGTGGTAGAGTTTTTGACTTATACGCCTACAATACCACCCTAGGTACTTTTGAATTTCTTCAGAGCTTGACGAGAAGCAGAATGGTAATGCACAGTACCAACCTACTACCTACCTATGTAAGTAGGTATCTGAGCCATGTCCGTGCTCCAGTTCGTTCGTTTCATACATATATAATCATTCATCTGCGTAGGTGCTGTTTGCGTCCTATCAGCAATGTAGACCTACCTACGCCTCCTTATACTCCCTACTTACGTAAGCCTCATCTTTCGTGCTTTTGCGCATAGGACCTACCTAGGTATATGATGAGCCCAGTCACGTATTATAGGTATCTTGCAGTCACTGTGAATCCCATGCCATGACAGTTCGTTGGTGTTTTGCATTGTTGCAATCACAGTGCAGGCTTGGCTGCTTCCAAGGATGTTTGCATGGCTGTGGATATTATGTATCGACCTTCAGCTTCAGTCCCAGTCATTGTAAAACAAAAGGACGGGTCCCCATCCGGCGGCATCGGCTTGTCTGGGCTTGTTGGGTCGCCTCTGGTTGCCTGGAACGCGCGCTATCTGGACAGAGCTTAGTGCAGCACGCCAGGTCAGAGCTGGCCTAGTGTCTACCTAGGTACCTAACTGTAGGTATCTGTCTCCGGTTTACGTACCTAGTACTATGTACCTGTATCTGGTCTGTCTGGGATTGTCTGACAACTACACAAGTATGTATTTAAGTAGCATACATATGTCCCTACTCATATGTAAGGATAATAAGCATGCCTAAGTAGTTTTATATTTACGGGCCTGGGTGGGCAGAGGGTGGTTTACCACGGTTACATAAGACTAGATTTAAGCGCAAGTACCTCAAAGCGAATTCCCGCAAGATACCTACTTCTTCGCAGGAGTAGAGTATGTACCTAGGTACGGTACCGAGATACCTAGCGGCAGCGGGCTTATCGAGCCGTTATCACGCTGCAGAGTCACGCGTGCGAGTCCCTGATCTTCATTGTCCACGTCGACTCCTGCTGGATGCCTTGTTACCAAGTTGATGCTTGTCAGAGTCATCTGTCCAATGATGGCGCAGGTTCGCCGACGGCTTCTTTTTTCCAGCCCAGGGCCCTCTTTTATTGTTTATCTTTGCAGTCAGTCATTGTCGGGGACGCAGTACCTAGTGCCTACGAAGTAGGTAATGTCTGGTAATGTAATGGATGTCCCAATCCTCTGCCTAGATCTCGTGATAGCCGTTCTCTTAGAGTTAGCCGTACCTACGTGACTTTCCTCATACCCTTCGTCATCCGCCTCATTCTCCCCGTTCCCACTACCTAGATAGTTTTCCCTTCCATTTTTTTTTTCGCTTTATTCCACTTCATCCCACTTCATTCATGTAACCTTCGCCCACCACTATCGTTTCTCGGTATTACTTATGCAGTAGGTAAGTAGGTAGTGTCCTCCTACGCCGTCTCACGCCAGCAACCAACACGCAACCCTCCAGTTTACCACCTTCTACCTTACAGTACCTGCCTGCTTACTCACCTTGTACTGTACTAGTAGCAAGAGGCAGCTTTACACTTTCACACGAGACCATGGTGGACTGGACTGTGCGAGCTAGGCGCCTTTAGATCATAAGTAGATGAGCATAACAGTGGTTTTGCAGCAATATTCCTTGTTCTGGGCAGACTCAGTCAGAGGCCGAGTCATTCACTTGATCATCGGTCAACCAAACAAATACTCACCTCCTTTCCTCCCTCCTCTCTGCTCCCTCCCCTCTGCATACCCGCCTGCAGCTTTGGGTCGTCAATTGGAGGTGGCCAGGCATACTATAGTTTACCGGCGAAAGTCAGCTTGTCCCTATTGTCTCGCATGCAAGAGGTCAATTAACAGTATCTACTTACACAGTAGGTAGCAGGACAAGTCATCATAACGCAAGGTCCCTACCAATCCCTGTTGGCCGCGGCTACACCAGCAAGCCTTACAGTATATTAGCAACTTTGTTGATACTGTAGGTGGTCTGGACAGCCTATCTGAGCACTTATCGCCTCGCCTCAACTGTCATCTTCCCAGCACCAACCCTGTCCGGCTGCTAGGCAGGGTGGCCCGAGATAGGTACCCAGCTCATTATCAGCACGCCCGCAGCCAGCATCCAGCCTATCGGGCATAAGGTTTCCCTGCCTACCTTAGATACCTACATACATACTTTCATACATACCTCTTCTCTCCCCAACCTAACCATAGGTACGTGGATCTCAAGAAAGACACAGCTTTCCCATCCGTGCCACCAAGATAACTGTTACCATGGTCGAGACTCGCTAACTCGCCAATCCAGCCACAGTCGTGGGTGGTTTCTCGGTGTTTCGCGTTGCTCAGAGTGACACAAGCATCTCCAGATCACTCCCCGCTTGACAAGGTTCTGGTCCTCGATTGCAGCGTCTCCCAGGTCCACCCCCGACCTATCGGATACCTGCCCCTACATCATTCCCACTTTGACATCTAGTTCCGTCTATCCTAACTCGAGACGCGCGCTCACCTCAGCTTTCGAGCTTCTTCTCCCTGACCCCATTCTCCTCATTTTTCTTTTCACCTGCCGTCGGCCTTCTGCCTTCTGCATCTAGTCTTTTCCTTCATCTTCTCGACGCCAGCCATTAGCTACGCATGTATACGAGCACAATTGCGCGAGGCTCAGCTCTATCTCCCATCCATTTATAGGCCCTTGGCCTCCACCAAGCTTCCTGTCATCGCCAACTCACACAGGAAGTCATGGCCGAAGCACGAGTTTCCTCGCGCCGCGTGAGAACCGGTGACGATGTCGTTGGCCCGTTCCTTATTGGCTCCGAGATAGGAAAGGGCAGCTTTGCGCAGGTCTATATGGGCAAGCACAAGGTTCGCAATCACTTAGCTCCGTCACATCATCCTCGTCCAGGGCTTTACTGTCTTGGGCACATGTTCGAAGAATCGGGATCGCCTGTCTTTGGATAATGATTCCTTTTCCCAAATCGAACCATAGATTAGCTGTTATTGTTGAGACTTGAAAGCTAACCAGTCGATCTCAAGGTATCCGGGGCTGCTGTAGCCATCAAATCCGTCGAGCTCGCCCGACTGAACAAGAAATTAAAAGACAATCTTTATAGCGAAATCCAGATCTTGAAGAAGCTTCGACATCCACACATCGTCGCCCTTCATGACTGTGTCGAATCGACAACCCACATCAACCTTGTTATGGAATACTGCGAGCTTGGGGACCTGTCATTATTTATCAAGAAGAGGGATAAGCTGATAACACATCCTGCTACATGCGATCTAGCACGGAAATACCCAAGCATTCCCGGGTCAGGTCTAAACGAAGTTGTTATCCGACATTTCCTTAAACAACTAGCCAGCGCATTGCAATTCTTGCGAGAAGGCAACTTTGTTCATCGAGATATAAAACCTCAAAACCTTCTGCTTCTCCCATCTGTCGTCTACCGGGAGTCCAATAGGGAGAGCCGATCGGTTCTCAGCGCTAGCCATGACTCATTAATACCCGCTGTTGGATTACAGTCCTTGCCTATGCTGAAGCTGGCAGACTTTGGGTTTGCTCGGGTTCTGCCCTCTACCTCGCTCGCAGAAACCCTGTGCGGATCGCCTCTGTACATGGCACCTGAAATACTTCGTTACGAGCGGTACGATGCCAAGGCCGATCTCTGGTCTGTTGGAACGGTTGCCTATGAGATGATAAGTGGCAAACCACCATTCCGAGCTAGTAATCATGTTGAGCTGTTACGAAAAATCGAAGGAGGTAATGATAACATCAAGTTTTCCAAGGAAGTTCAGGTGACATCAGATCTAAAGGCTTTGATTCGTGCTCTACTCAAGCGTAAGCCCGTTGAAAGGATGAGTTTTGAGAGCTTCTTCAATCACGATATTATCGCGGACCCTATACCTGGCCTAGTGGAGGACGACCTTCCAAGATCCCAACGATTAACTTCCAAAGATTCTCGAGCACTGTCAAAAACAGATGAGCCTCGACTGGAAGGACGACGCCTATCAGCGCATCATCGTTATCGAACAGACACAGAAGTTGTACGTCAAGACCTGGACCAATCGTTACCCCGGGAAAAGCCGCCGAAGACTATAGCTACGCCGGAGGTCGAAAACCAGCATCAAGTAGCACAAAAAACTGCTCAAGTAAGCCATGTAGCGCAAAATAATACCCCGTCAGGCCTCGGAATTCAGCGTCCTCAACCGGTCCCGTCGTCGTCGGCACCTTCAAAACCAGTTCTCATGGAAGACAGGCGCAATCGAGGTTATTCCAATGCTTCCGTAAACAAATTTCTACGTGATGATAAGTCACCTTCTTCATACGATAACAACGATATAGTGAAGGGGAAAGGAAAATATCATTCCACAGCAGATGAGCGTGAGAAAGTTGCGCATGACATAGCCTTTGAGAGAGATTACGTCGTCGTGGAAAAGAAACATGTAGAAGTAAACGCGTTTGCAGATGAGCTTGCTGCTAAAGGCACACAGACACATGCCATCACTCCACGGTCAGGACAGGTGATTCGACGTGCTACTCAACAAGGAGATCCAAGATCGACTACTGGGGCTGTCCCAGCTCAAGCATCCAATGCTTTGCAGATTGCGCAGGGCAGACAGCGACCAGACACCTATCATCGTGGTTCATACGAAAAGAATCTATCAGGCAGTCCTAGTTCCACAACTTCCGTCATTTCTAAGGCTATCCAAGATGCTAGTCTGAGGCTATTCGGCTTCAAATATCCTTCACATATGCTTGGCAAAGGCGCATCTCCTCCACATATGTACAACCCCTTTCCAACGTACCCTGCGCCAAATGCGCCCTTAGGCTTGATCACCGATGGGCGCTCAGGTGGCCCTATTGACGAAGATCTCCGTGTGGCTCAGTGTATCGAAGACTTTGCCACACGCAGCGATGTTGTATGGGGTTTTGCAGAGGTCAAGTACAAGCAACTTGTGCCGCTCGCTCCATCAACGGAGGAAGGCCTCGGTGGTATCCCAGCTGAAAAGATGGGATCAGACGATGACGATGGTCTGACGATCGAGGCAATTGTTGTCCTTTCAGAAGAAGCCCTTGTGTTGTACGTCAAGGCACTTTCTCTTCTTGCCAAATCGATGGATATTGCTAGCATATGGTGGGCACGTAGAGCTAAAAACGAAGCAACTGCCAGCCAACAACACGTTATTGGACGTGACGCAACTAGCACACAGAATCTGGTAGCCAGAGTTAATTCTGCCGTACAATGGGTTCGCAAACGCTTCAATGAGACATTAGAGAAGGCGGAAGTTGTCAGGCTGAAGCTGACAGAGGCCCAAAAGCAACTTCCTGAGGATCATTGCAGTCATCCAAGTAACAACCAGGTCGAGCCCATTGCACCAGGAACTCCAGGCACAGAAGGCATCGTATTAACCCCTGGTCTCAGTGCCGAGAAGTTGATGTTTGACCGAGCTATCGACATGAGTCGGACTGCCGCAATCAACGAGATAGCAAATGAAGACTTGGGTGGGTGTGAACTCTCTTACGTTACGGCCATTCGCATGCTGGAGGCCGTGCTTGACAACGATGATGATATATCAAGTAAACGTCGGTTGTCAGGATCCCAAGCGGAGCGCGATGTTCAAGAAGCAGCATCGGAGATAAACCCAGATGATCAACAAGCAGTACATAAGAGTAAGTAGTATCCCAACCAAACGATTTTAATAAGGCTAACCTGGCTTATTAGTGATCCACATGATTACTGGGAGGCTCACTACGCTTCGAAAGAAAATGCAAATAATAGCGAACGCCTCAAAGGCTCAACATAGCCTCCCCCGTAAGCGCAGTGATGAACTGACGCCACGAAGTGTTCCTACTCATACCTCGTAAAGAGTCGAGGATGTAACCTCATGATTAACGACGCCACGTATAAGACTACGATACAAATCACTTGGGCCCCGCGGCTTTCAGAAACTACCTTCTGCAGCTGGTTACAGGACCGGTTACACGGACAGCTGATATTCTCTTCTCATTTTGATTTACTCGTCACAGGGCGTTCACGGTGTCGGGAGCTTCGACATATCCTTTCCTTCCGCTTAGGCATTGTTGTATTATTTTGCCATTTCCAATTTTATCCTCTACTTTCAACCGTTCGAACTACTTTAAGTCCAATCAGCCTTCATACAAAATCCTAGGCGGTATGCATTCCGCTCTCGGTGCAAGTTTTTGTTGGAATTAGAAGTCTTCGACGATAAATGTCCGGCAACGGATAGGCTCTCACGGTCTAGAGCCATTGAACAGAAGAACAACCGCTTGGTCGCTCCATTTAATGGCTGTTGATCAGTCTTGTGCATTGAGTCGCAACCCGCCGCGCAAGGATGTTGGTGTCTTTAGACTTCTTTCTGCACATTTCATATTAGCTTTCTCGCTACTGTTTATACAGCGAGGGGAATTACCCCGTGTGTTCGTCTGATAACACATGGTCAATTGTTTCTCTGATAGTCGTATTGTATATTCTCCACGGTCCAGGCTTGATATCGGGTTTCAGCCTCCTTATTTTGGCATTGGGGTTGCATTGGTTTAGATTGAGTACAAATCAACCCATCGACTTGTCGAAGCTACTTAGTCAAGTCTTGATCCTGGCGTCTTGTTGGCAAGTCCCATGGAATTAGTTCACTAAGTAGCCAGCGAGTAATCATTCAGAATATATTCAATAACATACAAAAAATCCTTTACCGGCTTCAAACTCAAATGTTCACTACGCTACGCTCTGTTATTTATATACAAAGAATATCGACCTTTGCAAACAGTGTTAGTGTCAATGCACGTGTGTGCTCTGGAAACTGGACATTCTTCTTCTCAACTGCTCACGTTCTGGCATACATTCCATAGCCGGTAGATCCTTATATCACTGGTTCTTAGCCTTACCTCTGGTTCTTCGCTTTCTCTGCCCTCGCAATAGACCAAGACATACACAAGAACTTGACGCACATTGTCAAGCTGTGGCTGTTCCAAGTATAGTCATCGGTGTCGATGTTGCACTTGTCCATATTGCGGATAAGTTAATTCCCACTGGTAGCCACCGACTTTACATCGTTTCTGTTTAGCCCGGCTACTTCTGCGGAGTTTTGGTCACCCATGTAAGCACTTAGATACGTACAACAAGTTGAAGTTTCTACCGGAGGAACTAGGCGGAGAGGGAGATATAGAAACTGTCATAGGCTGATGAGAGTTGTATGGTGTTCATGTTGCTTCTAAATTGGATACCTATTATGCCTGTAATGCTTGCTTCTAATACATAAGTATGTCTGTAGGTGAGTACCTACCTAGGTAGCTACCTATGTTACTGTTCCTTCATGAGCTTCAGCTTGAGACGAAGGGTTTGCCGTCTGTAGTAGTATAGGAGATAGGTACCTACTAGGTAAGTAGTGATAGTTTTACCGGCTTCAGGTTTGCCTGCGCGGCTCTCAAGTTGCTTTACCTGTCAATCTAAAAAACGACCTACATGTAGGTATGACGACAGCTTTGAACCCCGAAATTGGAGAGATTCTGGCTTGAGATACCTAGTGTCCTTTGCCCCCCTAGCCCCCCACATTCTCTAGGTACCTACATAACCCAATGGGTACGTGATTTGCGCTGCTCTGAAGCCTTAGCACACAACGTTATGCCGGCACCAAGGTGGGTAGGCAAGACTCTAAGATTATTGACCACTGAGCCTCTGGGGGATATCTAAATAGAAGCCTTATAGATGAACCCCTGGCGCTATCTGCCCCTTGGGGAACTCAGCTATTTGAGAGTACGGCGCACGGCAATCGACTGGTGTCGCGAATAGGCAGGTCAGTCGTTGCTAATTATAGAAACAAGTGGACATACCTGGGCATATCTAGGTAGCATGTAAAGTGAAATCAGAATAGTAGGAATTTTTGAATAAGGTACCGTCTGGACTAAGTAAAACTAAGTCTTGTGTGGGATATACGAACAGCTACGTAGATGAAAGATATGACGAGATATCAGAGATGATGGGAGATAAAGCTAGCGCGAGCAGACACGAAGAAGCGTATTAACAAATACTTTCCATTATATTTCTTACCTGGTGCTGTAGGACCCTTCGTGGGCCGACCCGCTGGCACTGGATATCTTGCCTACACCCTGGACAGGATCTGCCTATACTTATGTATAAACGTTCGCTTGCTGATAGCTACCTAGCCTCCTTCGTACCGCAACACGGGAAGAGGGGCCATTTGACGACCGAAGCAGTACACTACTGCCCGCAGCAAGGTTTCCAGCATGGTATCACGACTGGACAATAACTTCACACACACAACCTCAACGTGGATGAGAGTGGCGGCGAGGTGATGCACGGCAACGGGCTCACAGGACCCAGCCAGCGTGCTACCACCCGGTCCATCTCAGTCACTATCCAATTGATGTTGGAGTAAGACCCCTCTGACCTGCAGGATGAACGTCATATTGCCTCCAGGCCCGCCGATCACATTAGCGCATCGTTGTCGAGTCACGAAGCAGAAGATTGAGCACGGTATTCGCCAGTCAATCAAGTTCGCGATATTTCCCTTGGGGAAAAAAAAAACGGTGATGGCACTGTCTGCAGGAGGCAGGATGCTCATTGGAGGCCTGTTCTGTTTTCCTGCTACCTAGTCTGATCTCACGAAGGATGGATGAGGAATGATCCGCTTACCCACAGGGAGAGGGCGACGGGCAGGCAGTCCGCCTACCCAAGCACACACATTCTCTCTAGTACTGCCTGCCCACAGCAAGGTTTCCAGCATGGGATATAAGATTGGTGATATTATGGGATTCTTCAACCTGCGTGCAGGAAGCGTTGTGATCAGCCCGAAGGTTATGCTAAAGTTCTATAATACCTTGTGTACGAACCCTGCCACACTGCTTGGGTAATGTGAGACTAGGTTTGTTTTTGCTATCACGCGCGGCATTGAGTAGAGTAGTGGGTATGGTGGAAGACACAAGCACGGCACATTTAAACGCAGTGTGACCAGCCTCATCCTAGCCTAGGGCCCGAAGCTGGAAACCTTTTCCACGAAGTGAAAAGGTTTTCCCCTGTCACCTGGCTTGCTTTATCTACATGTGAGTAGCCTCTTTCGGACGGCAAATGCATGGTTGGAGCTGTTGGGCCACTCGCTTTCCTATTTTCATTCTGGCGCATTACCCAGATTCATGACGGCAGCAATGGTTACCGCAAGAATGTTGGATAACGGCTTTCTTACATATACTACCTAGCACTGCTCAACGCCCAATATTACAGACGAGGAAGACAAGGAAACAACCCTCTACAACGGTACCTAGGCTTAATCTAGTTCATACCGCATGACTTGACTTGGCTGGATAGGACCCGGGAGCTACAGAGGAGGCCGCGTAGGCCTCACTTTTCATGGAAAATACGCGGATACCTAGAGTATGCATCTAGCCCTCGCTAGCCCTACAGCAAGTACCTGTATTAACGATCAGCAAAGGTTTGCCGCCTCGATGATCAACCTCCCGTTTCCATAAAATATAAGGCTAGTTATACTTACTTTTAAACAATGATAAGCCGTATATTTCTAGGGTAGGTTTGGTGGACAGACTCAGGGACGAGTCCCTTGCAGATACCCACCTGCGTGAGTAGATACGAGGTGCAATTCGAACTGATAATAACCTACTGAACACAGCTGAGACTGGGAACCTACCTAGGTAGGTAGATATAGGTACCAGATGCTAGGTGCACGTATACAGGCCTATACTTACATATGTATGCATCAAGTTTCGAAATTCCCATGTTCGGGGGAAACACGACGCAAATACCTACCTACCTACTATTCACATAGGTAGGCACTCTGAAGCGCCTAGTGTACATATACATACATCGACAGCCTGGCAGCTTCCCCACCGCCGTCACATAGATACATATATAGGGAAGTTGCAACGTACCTTGCCAGCTAGGCAGCACCAGCGCCGGTGGCGGCAACAACCAGCACCTCTACCTACAGGTACCTTCACCCTTCACTATAGACCTAAGTACTGCGTACCTACCTACCTACGTAGGTAGGTTAGGTACATAGGTGGTACAATATGTATGTTGGCACTTGTCTACCTTAGCTACGAAGTACTACTGACACCACCATCTCAACCCCCCAGTTGTTTCGCCCGCTCTTTCTTGTGTCCTCGTAGCTCCTAGCTCCGTGGTCCTGTCCTGTCCTGTCCTGTCCTGTCTACCTAGGTAGTCTGTGTTCAATACTCAGTGTTCTGTGTTTTACAACATTTGTAGATATATGACTGTCGCCAACGGTCCCTCTGCTCGTCTCATCTATTACGCGCGCCGACGCCGCCGCCGCCGCCGCTGCTGCTGCTGCTGCTGCTGCTACCGTTGTTGTTGTTGTTATTGTTGTTGCTGCTGCTGCTTGCGCTCGCACGCCCCCGACCGTACCCATTGCTGTTGCTCCTCTCGTTCCTACGTGCCCCGTCTGAAACACCCAGTTAGACTTGGCCAACCGCACCCAGCCTACGGCAACGCGAGCCCTGGCTTAAATTCCTCCAGAACCAGATCCAACCAAATCTCATCGCCTTCAACATTCCCCCCTCAGTGTCGCTGTTGTTCTACGCCGCTAAGCCGGCCATCCAAGCTCGTCTATGCCCCTCTGCCAACACCCTTACCGCAACGCCCGTGTGTGGCCTCGACACCTGATACCGAATCTTGTTAATAGCGTAGCCGTCGGCCGCCTCTCGACCAGTCCGTCCAGCTGCCAGTCACCCTCACCCTCTTCACCACCAAGTTTATGCCTTTAGTATACGCGCATAGTCTGCTTCCAACGCACAACCACTATAAAACCCAGCCTGATCGATCGATCCTGAGCGAGTTTTTCCCCACCAGACTCGAATAACCAGACATAGTGCGAGCGCTGCATGCGCTGCTAAAGTATCGCACCGCGTTTCCCCAGCCTCAATAACGTCTGCGGTCGCCCGTGCGCCATCAACATAATGACGTCTGCCGTCACCCCATCCAAGCCACCGAACCAGCAACTTCAGATGAGCCAACCACAGCCTTCATCCCAGGCTCCCGTAACTCCTGCATCGCCGCCGAGTAAGCGAGCTGACCTCAAGTCATGGTGGAAGAAATTCCAGGTTCAACCTACTAGGCATCAAGAGGCACGAGGTAAGCGACCATCCCGCTTTGTTCGGACCTCATGTGTTATCACCTTGCTCAGGTGTCTCATGCGGCTATCCAAGACTGTGTCAGATCCTTTATCATGTATCTCGAGCCCAAGTCCTTTCTTCTTCTTTTTCTTCACTAAGACTACTGATGGCGCTGCGTTCCAAACGTGACGTTCGATCCTCGAACACGAGATGACGTCGAGACTTATGATGTAACTTTGTTCCAAGTCTCCATCACAATTTGACACATTCATTTTCACACTAACCAAGATGTCAAATGTGGCATCAACAGGCTCACTGAACAGTGCGCTAGGGGTGGTTGGCTAACCTTGTTTAAGCAGAGACGCGACCTCAGGGCATCTTCGGTGTCCCGCTCCGACAAAGCATTACCTATGCGAATGTTGCTATTTCTCTCATTGATGAGAACGGCCAGAGCTATATATATGGATATGTGCCTATTGTGGTCGCTAAGTGTGGCGTGTATCTCAAAGAAAAAGGTGTGATCTCAGTATTGAGGTATAGAAAGCATGGTTACTAATACTATTGTCCGGGTAGCTACAAGCATAGAGGGAATCTTTCGTCTCAACGGCTCTGAGAAGCGTATCAAGGAGCTCAAGATCCAATTCGATTCTCCGGACCGCTACGGTAAAGGTCTTGTGTGGGATGGATACACAGTCCACGATGCTGCCAACGTCCTTCGACGTTATTTGAATGACCTTCCTGAACCAGTCGTCCCATTGGATTTATATGAGCGTTTCCGAGAGCCACTACGGGGTCACACCAAACAAGCCGTAGGTGATAATGAAGGTACTCAATTGCTTGAAAACTTCGACCAACACGAGGCTGTTGTGAAGTATCAGGCTTTGATTAAGGAGCTGCCTCCTTTGAATCGTCAGCTGTTGCTCTATATACTAGATTTGCTTGCGGTATTCGCTGCCAAATCAGATGAAAATCGCATGACAGCTCAAAATCTCGCTGCCATCTTCCAACCAGGCATGCTGTCCCACCCTCAACATGCCATGGCCCCCGAGGAGTATCGTCTCAATCAATGTGTGATCATATTCTTGATTGAACATCAAGACCATTTCTTGATTGGTATGCAAGGGACTGGCACTGACGAACAAACAAAACGGGAGATTGAGAAGGGAACACCCAGAATCGTTGCCCCTAGTACACCTAATCGTCAGACTGGCGTGGTACGCTCCGTATCTAATGCTAGTGCTGGCGCAGAAAGCGTTACAAGGGACGGCACCATACGGAGAAACCGCTCTACTTCATCACGCCATTCACGATATTCGAACGGGGCATCGACACCCAATAGTCCTTCAATAAACTCTCCTGGAAGTGGCTTGGGAAGAAGCAATACCCTGCCATCCAAAAAGTCACCCCTCGTACAAAACGGTCGATTTCCATCCCGACAACATTCTCCGGGTGTGGGAGTAACGCCAAACTCCCCCTCACCTTTACCTTCTCCCAATCCTAATGCTGTTGATCTGTTAGCAGTAAGCGGAAAGACTGCCACCCCTTCTGAAAATTCTCTAGCAGTCCCAAATTTGCCTGTAGCAGGTATATCTAATACTGGTCATGAAGATACAGTTGCAGGCAGAAGTCAAGAAAGACTACTAGGGCCTCCCAGCAGTAACTTGACACCATCGAAAGAAAGGAACTTGCAAAGTCTCTTTCAACGCTCGCCGAATTCAGACAGTGAAAAGCGGCAGCCTAACAAGCTGCGTAAGAAACGAATGATTAGCAGCGCGAATCCTAGTGCTCAAAGCTCAACCACCTCTTTGCCCCATTCTGGTGTTGGGTCTCCTACTGCCGAAACCTCTGATCCCCTTGAAAAGGTTACCCATATGGAACCAATAATACCTGAGAACAGTGCCTCCGTTGAAACCCCTTCCGGATCCACGCCAAGAGCATCTCAGCTGGCCCCGGCAGGACCCCCAGCTAGCACTATTGACCATGCTGTAGAGTCCCTTAACCCCAAGCATTCACAGCCTACGTCGTTACACTCGTCCTTTAACGAAGGCTCAGATATAGATCAGCACGAGGAAACAGTTCATGCATCATCGGCCGAGCTTGGTGAAAAGGAAAAGAAGCGTCGCTGGCGCATTTCACGGCGCAGGGAAGACTTCTCGGGCCCTTTAGGGCATAATAGTCATGCAGAAATGAGCAGTTCAACTGTTGGGAGCAGTAACCGTCCGCGGAAGAGTTGGACTGGTGACTCATCAGATGTTGCGGCAGCCTGGACCGACACCGAGGGTGCAGCGCGGGAGAAAGACGACAGCAAAGGGCCTCTAGGATGGATTAAACACAAATACCGTGAGGCTAAAGAGACTGTTGATAAACGCGCCAAGTCTCCCCCAGAGCATAACCATGGGTTTCTGCCTACACGAAGTAAAAGCATTGATGCAAAGAGGAGCATGGATGAAAAAAGACCAGCCGCCGCCCATTCACCTAAACTAGAGTCAACCGAACCGAGCACATTGCCAACTACCAGGGAAGTGCCGCTATCAAATCCTTTACCCCCTGTACAATCAACCACCCATATCGAAAAGTCGACTGGCTCGTAGAAAGTCGGTAGAACATATCTTGATTGATTTATTTAGCCGAGGCAAACGACACCGTCAAAATTGAATGAAATACCTGATTCTAAGTCTAGTTCAATAATATCAATAACATCTACCTAAAGGCACACACGTTTATGGTAGAGCGGCCCATATCATGTCCTAAGTGTCAGCCGTATTGTTAGGCGTCCATGGTTGTCAAGGAAAAGAAGGAAAAGGCGACAATTGTGTTTTTTACTTTGTTTCTTGATACATGGAGACCAGCTTATATATTTTGGCGCGTGATATTGACGCCCTTGACCCGTACACATAGCCTGGCCATCAGCTCGTTTAATCTCTGGATACCCCTTTCGTCTACGACTTGGCCGCAATCCGCCCTTCTTGTAATGCCGAATCTTCGTTACCGGCCTCTGTGCTTTCATAATTCCATCATATTCTCCCAGGGGGGTTGACATGGCCATCATAGACGCAGAAGACTGCTAGATAATCCTGGAGATGGTCAGGCACACACTTTTTTCATGTTACAACAAGTTTTGGGGGAGCGAAATCTCGGGATACTCGTATCTTCATTGTGCTGTATTTAAGCAATATTATTATATATACTTCCAGTACTTTTGACGAGAATCTACGGTCTACGAGTTGCAATTAAGAAATCTTATAGGAAGGCAGTAATTATTGGGCATTGTACAGAATTAGCAGATTATCTTCGATATAAAAGATACTGATTTCCTGTGTGATTGTAATACCTCTCTCACTCACACGCTAGGAGATGCCTTGTTCTCCAATTGCTTTGGGAAGATATGACAAGTAGGTACGTAGGCAATGAACATGAAGCCATGCATAATGGCGTCGTTAGTTTCCCGCGTTCTTGCTACGTCCTGTGTGTGATATTTGTCCCTGTGGCCCTGAGTCGTGAGTTCGCAAGGTGGTGACCTCTTCCGTGACACTGATATTACACAGTGGTAGGTAGTACTCTACTTTTTTTTTTCTCCCACGTAGAAGAGCTAGAACGGCATCAAAGTAATCCAATATGTAATACTTGATAGTTATCTACCTACCCAGGTACTCTCTTCTTTTCCATGCCTCCCTCTCTATTTTGCTTCGTTTTGTTGTTGGGGGGGAGATAGCCACCTACCTTGACATAACCTACCTTGGTACGTACGCTCTTGAGTTACTGGAATAGACGATAGGCACGTAGTTGTATTGTTGCTGGCGCGGGCTTGGCGTATATGCCTGCTTGCTTTAAATGTCAAACTTGTGCCATTGCGACTTTCGAGATATTCGTCAAGGTAGCTTTGATTCCGTTCTTAGGAGTCGGGGATAGGGCTACATCGTCAGCATCTATGATCAAAATTAGCGCAGGAAGTTGGAGAGGCCCTTTAGACGTAAGGCTGCTTCGTCGTTATGACACCGAAGACTTCATGAAGTCTTCAAATGGTTGGTGTGAATGCATCTACTGGATGCCAGTGTGAGCTTCATGCCAAGATGCCAGGATTGAATAACAACATTCGTCGTATCCTTCCTGTCTTGCATTACTATGCTGAGATGAACGAGTCTTGGTTCTTTTTGTCCCCCACATATCCAGAACCCATCATGGCTGGATGTCAGACCCAAGACGCTTCACAAGTTATCCTCCAATATACACAAACCCGACTCTCAATGGAGTATAACGACGTCGACCTGGGTATTTCCTATCCAAAATAAATCTATGCCATCACGCCACGAAAAGAAACTAGATATCTCCTTTAAATGCCATTGCTGGCGCACGAAAATGGCCGGCCCACTGTCCCTGCCTCGTATTCATCTATGATGCCCTGGATGGTGGCGTAGGTACCCGCAGTCAGGAAGAACAGACCTGTGAGGATAATGATGATATTTAGAATACCCTCAAACCAGCCACGGAAAGTTCGGTCCCTTAGAAGAGAAACAGCGCCGTCTGCTTTTCTCATGCGGAAGTAAGCTACTCCCCAGAAGATGAACCCAAAGAACGAGTCGAATAGAGACGAGAGGAGGGAGAGAACTATAGACATATTAGCTGCCAAGATCACAAATCTAGTAGAGTATATCTATCTATACTTACGAGAGCTGAAAAAGGGGATGGAATTTGCAATAACAAAGGCGAGAAGCCAAGTTACCACTAGATATACGATTAGCAAAAAGGTCGGGGCGATAGAGGGCTAAAAGGCACATACACAAGATACCAGCCCAAGTGGCCCAACCAACGATAGTGTTCTCGTTTTTGTGTCGGGAGTTGTGGAAAATGCGCAAAAATACAAAACGAGCTGAAACTGAGGCATAAAGGACACCGAGGAAGATGATCGTTGGGACCATGAAAGAGAAAGCGACCTTCTTGTATATGGGCTGTAGAGAGCCAAAGGCGGGGCTAGTCATGTATTGGTTTCCTGTATAAGCATATACCGTGGCTCCGACGATCGTGAAGACAATGATTTCAGCAATGGTGCATGCCCATAGAGCCTTGGGGAAATCCTTGGGCTCCTTCATTTCAGCGATAAAGCTAGGTAGTGTGATCTGGCCAATAAGAGTGTAGCTTATGTTGAGGAAAGCATTGAGACCACTGACGAAAGTAGTGGTGACTAGCGGTATGGCGGTCACGATAGGTGCTCCTGAGGGCATGACTTTGCCTGTCGAGGGGTCGGTTACCGCTTCCGCAGAGTATCCAGCAGGGTGGCTTTCGATGGCAGCGAAGATGACTGCCAGGAGTACGGAGACGAATGTGAAAACCGCCGATCCGGTCCCCAGGTGGGAAAGTACACTGAAAGTACGAGGCAATGAAGCAATCCATGAAATGATAGCCACGATGAGACCAATGCTTACGGTCTGGCAGGAGATAGCGTCGGTCTCGCCGCCAATCAAGGTGTTCACATACTTGGCTCCGGTCAAGACGTGGAGGCCCTAGGGAAGATGTTAGATGGTATGATCAGCATTCTGAGAGCGTAGTTGACCAACTTGAATGAATGTGTTGTTCAGAACGAACATGACGGCGGTGAACCACCATGCCCATTTTTTATTCCAGAAAAGCATCTGCCCTATGTCACAAACATCTCGGACTTCTGGATGTCTCAAGCAAAACTGCCATAGAATGAGGGAACTGCAATATACATAAGCACATGTGCAAGTGTATGCGACAAGGCAATCTAGGTACTCACGTATAGAGAACGAGAAGAGCCTGGACGATAGTGAGGATAACGCTGCGAATAAGGTTAGTACAATATCCCTCGCGATGGGCGACACCAGTGGAGGCCAGCTTACCCAGGTACCAGGCCAAGTATGCTATAAGACCAAGGAAAGCTCATGATAGCCTATCCCATGAAATATCAGCACCGTGCTGTGAACGGAAGTTGAGTCTAGATGGAGACTACTTGGAGTACATATATACTATAGTCACAGCGCGAGTGGGCGGATTAGCAATGTCAGGACTCACCAGGCAGATGTATTCGGAGAAGAGTAGAGCAGCAGTTTTTTGCCAGCTACAAGTGCGATATTGAATGGCGCTCCCGGCCTCTTGGGCCAGCTGCTTCTCAAGAATAGCATCGCTATTCATAGCGCTATCCGAGTCTTCGGGAGTGTCTCCAGATACGGGAACGATGACGCGGGGTGTAATGCGAGGACCAACGGTAGTATTGGGGCCGCCAAACCAGGCCGACCAGCCCCGAGGGACCGTGTCGACGGCAGAAGGCTCCCCATAGGGGGAGGTCGACCTCGAATCCGACCCGTTGTCTACCTTCATAGCGACGGATGTCCACGGTAGCCGCAAGCAGACTCGGACAACAACTCGGACAACTTGGACACTCTTGCAGGGATGAATAAGCAAGCAGATGCGGTCAATACAGTCGAAGAGAGCGGGCGTGGTCCGACGATTGCAAGATGGTTGGCCAAGGTCAATCGGTTGAACGGGAGGGACTGTCAAGGCAACATGCAGAGAGAAAGGGTCGGACGGGCTTGCGAAGATTGAGTTTCTGAGAGCCCCGAGCACATGGGCTGGAGATATAAGAGCAGTAGACAGATACCTAGCGTATTACCGGGCGCCGTACATCATCACACAGCACGTTAATTCCAACATCTAAATATCTCGGCAGCTCCGCGCACACACTGAGCAGATCAAGCGGCGCGCTACACTACATGCAGTATCCCATCTAGAGTCCATGGCAGGCTACGAGGCACTACTGTTAGCGTCGTGTAGTAGATGCGAGTCGAACGAGACGATCAGGGTGCTGGAACCAGGGCAGACCAGGGCAGACCAGGGGTTCCACAGAGGGCAGGCGAGAAGAATCAGTTGATCTCGACACTGGTGGTTTGTCCTTGTTGGTTGTTGGTTGCGGTAGCGACAAAAAGGTCGAGCCGCTGAGATGACGTGCTTGACCAAGTCGGTTGCGTGGGTGGGCCCGACGAGCGCCTACTCTATACATACTAGGTACGTATAAGCATTGCCAAGTAAAGCCTAGCGGTCTTGTTTGCCTGTGTAATCGAGATACTTGCAATTCTGCGCAACAGGCTACGATGACCCCAGGTACCTACTACCTACTGTACATAGATAAGACGACGCACGCGCCAAGATATGCCAAGTCCACTACCTCCTTGGGATTCCGCCCCCCCTTCCCGCTAAACCACCCGAGTAGGTACCTACAGTAGGTAAGTACCTACAAGAGGTGTTACTATTACCTACACACGCTACATGCAGTACCGGGCAGACTGATACTATCTCATCAGCACCGACGATGGGTAGCAATTGGGACGAGTGTATGATGTAGTGTACGGAGACGCTGATGCCAAATTCCGGTATTCGATCCTTTGGTTTCACAGGGTTGTGTAAGTACTGTGAGTAAGTGCACTTGACCACACATACCTAGTGGACGTGTAGGAAGCACTATCCACGCCAACAGTAATCCTCCATGAAGAGTTTACAAATGTAGCGTAGGTATTGTACAAGCAGGTAGTGCTCACTAGCTGGGTGTGGACTGGGTGGATGGAGGAACGAAGGTTTATGAAATGTGTACTGTAACTGAAGGGCCTCGAGAGAGCCTGCTTAGAATTCCTACCCTTCACCGGATGGTGCTGTTGTTGTCCTGTTATGACGAGCTGTTTTTGTCAACATCCCAGAGAGTAGACTAAGTACATGGTAGATCTTTCTCGGTCCCGGCATTGTACCAGGACAGCCCTGGCAGTTCTTGAACGGCAGCAAATTTTAACTTATTAGGTAAAAAGATAAGCGTCGTTTTGGATATTATCTCTTCCTCTTGTCTTGATATCTACTTACGTTAGGCAGTGAGTGTAGTGATTCGACCGCCAACTGATGACAATCTCGTGATCTAAGTACGCTATCTACTTATACATGTACTTAGGAACGCGACATCAGCCCTGATGGCAAGCATGCCGAACCACCTGTGGTTCTACCATGGCCCAGGAACGGTTTCTCTACCTCCGTATCTGTCCGTAGGAATCTACAAGTACCGGTAGGTAGACTGACTACACATTGTGTCACTGATTGATCAAACACCGGTCGATGATGCCATGCATGAATTACCAACCACGTAGGTAGTTGTTGCGTAGGTACTTGTACCGTAGGGCTATAGGTACGCGTTGAAGACCAACAGCACCTGAAGAATATGACATTGACGAGCCACTGACGAGCCACTGCCGTCATTACCTAGGTACCTAAGTACTCAAGTAGGTACTGTAGCTCCGCTGGTCAGCTGACAAGTGTACCTGTGGCTCGAGTTTAGCCAATTGTTATCTTATGGGGAATCTCGACATAAGGTACTACCTAACCTACCTACATATGTAGGTATGTAGGCGTCTTCGTCAAGAGGAAAAAGGGTCGAAACCGTTCGTTCAGAACTTCAGCGTCCAGAGAGAATCCTATTAATGCCTATGTACATTTGGATAGGGGCAATGGTGCATCGATGAGGAAACCCCATGTTAGTTCTTCCCTCCAGCCGATCTGTCTCACCCACAGCACAGAGCTAAATTCTCAGCACGCCGATCTCTGGCTGAGTTGCCTGACTTTTGAAGTGCGACTTTGAATTTGCCATGGCATTCAGCACTCGTGCTGCATGTATGCTTATAAGTTATCCGACATTACCTTTCCAAACACTCGGGTCCTGACCACAAGCCTTGGGTTCACACGTGCTGCCTCATACGGTACCGTATGTACCACGGGTTCCGCCTGCTCGGCTTATCTCAGATCTTAGGTGCCGCCACCCCGGGTCCTTTTGGGGGCATAGCTTCAAGCTGGATTCAGAGACACAGGTAGGCATTACATGGAAGACTGAAGACTGACTGCAGCATTGTCTAATAACCCCCGCTCATGCCCGAAGCCCTAGACCGCGATACCATGGCTTTAAATTGGGAGATCACATGTCTATGGTGGCCACGAGGTTGTGCTATGTTGCCGCGCATGTTGGGAATAACACGCACGTTTTTAACTATGTTGAACGTGGAGGGGGAGGGGGGTTTGATTCGCACGATTTAAGCAAGGTTGCACAGCTTTCATAGATCTCAGGTTACCACGATATGCTGTGGACTCATAGCTTGCGGCCTATAACCGCATATGGACTGCTGATGAACAACCGGGAACTGGAATTTAGACACAGAATCCATCGTCTGGTATATAATTGGTTGTACTTGTGTATAGCTTGGCGCATCTGCTATTTGTTGGGATTTAACGAGGAATCCAAAGACACGATGCGTGTCACAACAACGGTTCTTCATGAGCACCAGCCCAGCAGAACGGTAAAGTTGTCGCCTCATGTACATAGTACTGCGCAGACGTTGAACATTAGGAAAACAAGCTCGCGGGACGAGAAACCGGCGGTATTGGCACAAGCGTTGGCATTGTCAGCCACCGCCGCGAGCCAAGGCTGCGGAGAAACAGGGAAAGAGTGAGGAGCCGAAGAGGAGGCGCCCTTGGCAGCATCCCGCAACCCACCAATGTCGTCGTCAAGCTGTAAGCAGACACCACATCACTTGTGCCAGTGAGGCCTTCATCTGCCTCCCTACACAACATGTACGAGTGTCGCTGTAGAAAGAAACAGCACGCTGATCAATGCGGACTAAAGAAGCAGATATTAAGGGTCCAAAGGGAGGGGACCGGGCAGAGGAACCTCTCGCAAACCGAAGACAAGCGGGAGGGCTCTTCCGTGGATATCCGGTCGCTTCAAATTAGAAAGAACTTGGGGAAAATCTGGGGTCCCCGGAAAACCCGCATTGGAGAAAACACCCGCTAAACTAGAGACGGATGGAGATTGTGTCGAATCCCTAGCGACAAGCCGAGCCATTGTTGGTCAGATGACTGTCGCCATATGAGTTTGGGTGTTTTCGATTCCGCATGTGAGAGAGAATACGACAACGGTACCAGCAACTTGGAATCCCCGTGGAAGAAAAACGGCTTACGATAGGATAGGTATTGGTTCCTCGCACTTTGCCCACTCACCCTGGCCTAGTCAATTACTTAAGCTGCGACATCGGGACCCGAGATTTTCACACTGGACAGCTGTTGCTTACTTACATGTACAACCGCCCCCCAAAGACACATTGATGTCTCTCTCTAAGCGGTAGGTAATACGAAGCTGGCTGCTTTTGTACACTGGACGATCGCATTTTCGTATCGCATAAATATTCCTAGGGTATGTGGTACAGGCGATCAGCAAACACATCGCGCGCTGGGCCCGAGACTCACGGCTCCACGAAAGTATGCATAAGGCATTTCTGTTTGTCAAACATCTTTAAGATTAACAACGTGCCACTGATCAAGGCAGGCTCCTCGTGGGCATGTGAGATGCGCGTGCGTACGAAGTATGGGCGTAGTGGCCCAGATGAGACCCCCATTCCCCAATGTCCAATCTTTAAGCGATCGGCGTCCTCACGAGCCAAAGAGGGCCTAGTTTACCCTACCCATCCACTACGGCTTCAATAGTAAGTGTTGCAGGGGGACTGCCGGCCTTAAATGTCAGACGGCGCGCGCGCTGTGACAAGGTATATAGTCAAGACAGGCCGGTTTTCGCATTCATCGTTGTTGACTGACCACTTCCATATTTTATCTTTGAAGACAAATCGTTCAATCTTTCGGCCTCCCTCTCCCCCGCTCTCTCTTTCTCTCCCCGTTCTTCTTTGCTGCCATATGCCTTTCGTCTGTCGTTGGAGCGTTTGTTGGATATAGCGTCGTCGTCATCGTCTTCATCGTCATCGTCCCCACCGTTGGGCAAATCGTACCGTAAATCTCACTTAGAGAAAAATGGCCATTGGTAAGGGAGATTTTCTTGTGCCGTGTTCCTAGTTACCTACCTACGACTAACAACAACAATTAACTTCTCACAGCAAGCGCCTTTGAAAATGAAAAGGGACAAGAGGAATTAACCTACAATAGCCGCGACCCGGGCACAACCGACAACTCCGACGATGGTGGCGAGCTCTCTGGGGCCGTCGTGTGCCCTTCTCACACGACGGAGCGAAAGATGATGTGGCGTGTCGACTGGCACATCCTCCCCTTCGTCACTATCCTGTACCTCCTAGCCTTCCTGGATCGCGTAAACATAGCGAATGCCCGAACCTTCAATCTAGAAGCTGATCTCGGTCTGAAGAAGACGGAGTACAACACAGGTTAGGACCAATCGCGGGTCTCGCTCTTTCGTCGCCTCAGTTTTGCTGATCTTTTCCTTGCCGCCGCTTGCTAGCTCTGACTATATTCTTCGTCCCGTATATCCTTTTCGAGATACCAAGCAACATTCTTCTCAAGCGCTTCTCTCCGCGAATCTGGTTATCTGGATGCATGTTTCTTTTTGGGCTCGTCTCTATCTTTCAGGGGCTTGCTCAAAACTATGGCGGCCTGCTTGCTACTCGCTTCTTCCTAGGCCTGTTCGAGGCTGGAATGTTCCCAGGTGCGTGAAGGAACATCTTCTGCCAAGCAAATGCTCTTGTAAAAGCTAACCCTGGAATTACAGGCTGTTTCTACCTTATTGGTGAGTGTTTTGCTGCTGCTTGGTGCTGGTGTGCGCCTCACACAATGACATCACGGAACTAATTTCAAAAAGGCATGTGGTATAAACGAGACGAGGCGCAGAAGCGGTATTCTCTTTTCTTCTCGTCCACATCGCTCGCTGGTGCTTTCGGTGGTCTCCTTGCCTCCGCCATCGGGAAACGTAAGCATTCATATTCTAAGCGCTACTCTTGTGGCTGAGAAACAACGACTGATTTAGTGATTTAGTGGATGGTGTGCGAGGCTATTCGGGGTGGAGATGGATTTTCATCCTGGAAGGTCTCCTCACTGCGGTCGTTGCAATCATCTTCTTTTTCACGTTCCCCGCTTTGTGAGTATTGACTGTTCTTTTCAGTCTGATGCGTCGGGGACTATCACGCTGAATCTGTTGGCTAACCGGCATCCCAGCCCGGAGGAGTCCAAGTGGCTATCCGAAGAGGAACAAGCGTATATAAAGACACGCTTGAAGGCCGAGCAGGGAAACAACGGCGCCGAACGAAAAATCACTTTCCGAGACGTGCTCACGGTTTTGAAGGATCACAGAGTGATTCTGGGCGGGTTTATGTACTTCGGACTGATTGTGCCGGCCTACGGGTACGCGTTCTTCGCCCCGACCATCATCAAGACATACAACTATAGCCCCATCCAAACCCAACTGCACTCTGTCCCGCCGTGGGCGGCTTCGTTCGTCTTCTCCCTAATTGTAGCCGCATTGTCTGACTGGACGCGCCACCGTGCGTTCTTCGCGCTTGCGCCTTTGGGTCTCCTCATTGCGGCGATTGGCGTTTTGCTGTCCGTTCACACCAACACGACAGCTGAGTATGCTGTGTTGCACCTTTTCACGAGCGGCACATATGCCGTCTTACCCATAAGTAAGCAAATCATCCGATTTAATGTTTTGATAGTTTGGGAGCTTTCAAGACCATGAGTATTACTCTCAGAAGGTGATAGCTAATCCTAGTATTGCAGTTGTCTGTTGGTTCCAGATGAACCTAGGCGGCCATCACCGCCGCGCTATCGGCTCAGCGTGGCAAGTTGGATTTGGAAATTTGTAAGTAACCCCTTCTCTTCATTTGAATCTTCACACAATTTCAGCGTAGATAGAAAACAGACTAACGTTCTATCGCCGTCGTCAGAGGTGGTATCATTGCTACTTACATATTCCTGGACACCGACGCCCCATACTTTACAAAGGGTTACGCAATCTGCTTAGGTTTTACCGTCGTCAGTGCCTTAGCCTCGGTACTCTATTTGATATCAATCCACGTTGAGAACAGGAGGAGGGCTAAGACGGCCACGAATATTGGCCTCTCCGAATATGAGAAGACTGAATTGGGTGACTTGAACCCTAACTACAGATATATGTACTAAAAGAATATTTGGCGAAGGTTAGAAGTTGTGGCTGTTGCCTTTTTGAGATCAAACTCCTCTGGACTTCTCAGGGCGGCTGAGGCTTGATGAACACTGTCAGGATTCATCTAATATGCCTCGTGGATGGGATTCACGACTTGAATGATTTTTCGTAAATAATTCAGTATAAAGGCAAACCCTTGATCTAGTTGACAGTATCATTTAGCGAGGCCTACACAGGTCAATTGAATTGATGAACAAGGAACATAATAATAACGGCACATACCTCGTTGCTTATTGTCGACTTCACTTGCGGTAATGAATGTTGCGACAGCTTTACATAGGATCTTTACCAGCGGATAGATTCATGAGATAGACACTCCGAGAACAAGCATTAATTTCAAATCGTTTGTTATCGGACCTGAGAAACGACATTTCCCATGAGAGCCTAGGTGTCAAAGAGATAAGGGATTGGTGGGTGACCGAGAATCTGATTATTCAATTGCCTTCTTGAAACGCCAGGTCCACATCTAAGCTCGTAAGGAGTGGCTCCGTCTCGCAACCAACACCAAAATACTACTATATATTGGCTGGAAGCTCTGAGACAAATGATGATATGCACTATCAACATGCCTGCCTGAAGAAAAGGGACAACCGCATAATTGATCTAACGTCTGCCTTTTCGATCCGCCTCCGCATCTATATCTCGCTCAACCATTTCTATAGAACTAAGACTTGGAAACCTTTTACTAAAATCCTGGATATAGTCTTCCTTTTCTTGAAAAGACATGTCCAAGGCAGGTCGCCCAGGTAAACCAACTCCCACAAGCTGGTCTGAACTGGCCCGGTAAGCACTACTCGCAGAAAGTTGCTGTATCGTTGGTGACCGACGACCGCCAGTCGGAAGATTGATCAAGTGTGTGGGTTTAGGAGCAGGATTTGGTTTGACGGGAGGCACCGGTCGATTTGCTGAGCTCGAGCTCTGACCGTTCGACCGAACTCGTGCCAAAGCCTCAGATGAGCTCGTAGGTGGTTTTGGCGGTGGCCCATGACCAGTACCAGTGGGTCTCTGCGGCAGCTCTGGGACTTCTTTCTCTTCTCGACTCCTTGCTAGTGCTTCGTCCGAAAATTTTCCATAGCCCGACGCAGTGCGCTGGACGTGTTGAGATGATTTGTTTGACTCTTCAAGTAAATTCTGTACTCGATTTTGTATACTTGCTGCTCGCGAAACACCGCCTATGCTTCTTGGGAGAGGTGCATGACCTATGTCTCCAGCCCGTGCAGCCATCTTTTGTTTGTATTCAGCTGCCGCGGCTTCCACCCTGCGCTCCTCATCAGCGAGACTCTGGGCTTCAAGCTCTCGACGCATTTCTGGAGTCAACTCAGCCTCGCCCAATACATGACCATCATCACTACGCCCATCTGTAGCCTCGGATCCAGCGATGGGAGTGAGCGTATGATTTTCCCCGTCTTTCAAGGGGGATGGTGTGCGTATGGAAGAACCTGTAGGATTTCCTTCAAAGCGCTTGAAGGCGTCACCGAATTTTCCTGCAAGAATATTCTTGGTGCCTGATAATGAACCCAGACTCGAACGTTTGCTATGATGTTTCGCACCTCGATCCTTCTTCTTACTATCATTATCTTCCATTGATCGAAGGAATTCAACATTGGACTGGATTGAAACCTCGTCTTGGGGCTCAATTCTTGGAGAGTCTGCTCTAGGGACTATCTTGGGAGATGGGTACCCCGGTGTGCGTAATGGTTTAATGGAGGCCTCCCTCTCACGCAGATAATCCATGCTAGATTCAAGATACATACTAGACGGTCTTGATCGGCCTGTACTTGACGAGGGCTTTACCAAAGGTTCTAAAGCTTCAGGACTCGGTCGCCTAGCTTCGAGGGATGGTCGGGACGACGACGCGTGTGATACCGAAACAGACTGTGACTGCGCCGATGGGATTCGAGGACTGGGGGAAGGTCGAGGGACCTGACCTGGATCTAACCGTGATTGGCTTGAAGTAGAACCGTTCTGTTCTCTGGGCAAGCTTGTTGACCGGTGCTGATCAGCTGGTGGAAATCGGTGAATTGGAGGATAATCACGAATCGGCATGTCGATAAGTGGGTTTGTCATTGTCCCAGTAGAGACCATTATTGGTCTATTTGGTACTTCCTGCTTAGGTTGGGGAAGGGTGGAAGAGATAGCCTGGAGTTCGGGATTACTAGAAATGATTGTAGAAGCTTTGCTCTTTTCCACCATCGGATTTGGTGGGGAGGAAGCAGGTTTTTGGGGCGGTGCTAGTGGTGGTGATGGGCGATGCGATTCAGCCGTGCCAGCCGCGAACTGTGTATGACCTGCATCGTTGGCCTGCCTACGATTTTCTAGGGTAGAAGTGGACTTCGCCGAGGGGCTGGCAAACGCATCATCGGCAAGGTTTTCTGTTGCTCGCTGATTGAGCTGTGCTGCTGGCCCGTTGGATGAAGCCTGTGGTGAAGTAGGACTATCAAAATCGAAGTTGGACCCTTGATCATGTAAAAGAGAAAATTGATCGAGAGTTGGAAACCTCGAGGACAATTCATCGCTCCCTAGCTTGGCTCCTGATTTAGCGTCGAGAGCAGCAAAGGGATCACCAGCAGTGACCTTCGGAGGTTGCGAGGACGCAGCTTGGTTCGTAGTAGCTGGGCGGCCCCTACGCATAGGCGTTATATCAGGAATTGCCTGGGTTTGTTGCTGTGGGGGTGGAGAGTACACGGCACCCACAGTGGGTGTACTGCCAGTCTTGCGCTCAGCAGGAAGCTGTCTCTCGCTCATATGTGGCTCTGATGACTGCGAGCGGTTCGAATATATCTAGAAGTGTGTCAGCAGGTTGGCGGCTTCCAAGGACGAAAGGACAAACATCATGAATAGGTATTTCGCGACCCTGCATTAGGCAACTTTCTCGAAGCACTTGATAGATATTTGGCCTAGATACCGGGTTTTCTCGAAGCATGGAAGCTGAAAATTATTAGAACGAGATGCTCGGTAATCAATATCGAGGCACTTACCAATCAATTGTTTCAGCTTATCGGAGAATACAGGATAACTAGGAAATCGATAACTCGCGTTTAATATGGCAAGCTGTCCTTGATCTTCAAATGGAGTTGTGTAATAGCAGAGCTTATAAAGGAGAACACCCAAGGCCCAAATATCCGACTTCTCATCTATCGGCTGCTTCCTATACACATCGACCATTTCAGGGCTTCTATATTGCATCGTAGTGTGCCTTTGGATATCTTCGTCTATTAACCTGCATTCCACGACTGTCTGTGGTGCAGGTTTAGGCGGCGCTGCAGACCCAAAATCGCACAGCTTGAACTTCCTCTTAGCACCATGCATAACAATCAGCACATTCTCTACTTTGAGGTCCCGATGTAGCAATGGCGGTTTGAGGTAGTGCATACAAGCAACGCCCTCGGCGATATCGGAGAAGATGTTTATTATTTCGGGTTCGGTTAGACGATGTTGTAATCGGGTGTTCATGAAGTCGATTAACCCTCCCCCGTCACAGAATTCCATCAGCAGAAAGACCTCATAACCACCGCCCTTCAACTCGGAGGCATGTGAGTCTATGTAAGTGACAATAGGGCGGTGTCCTTTTAACCGCTTCATCGTCTCGACCTCGGTTCGCATTGAACGCAGCGTTTCCTTGTCGGGGACGGCGACTCTCTTCAGCACGGCCTGGTCAGTGCCATCGATAGGGCGAGGCAGCTTGACGAGATAGACATGTGCGAATCCACCCTCAGAAAGGTATCTCTGTATGACGACCCTATGTTCACCGACTTGAATCTTGGTTCCCGGTGCAAAAGTGCCAGCGGGGGTGGCGGAGGCTTGCACGGGCATTGGCACCTGTGACGGCTGGCCATAGTGGGCAGCAGCCAAAGGGTGGTTATAGGAAGCCATAGACACAGGAAATAGATGTTGTGGCTGTTGCAAAGTCGAGTATCGGGTAGCGAACAAGAGGGCGGGACGCTCAGGTGCGGCGGCGAAAGAGAGACACGGAGACGGAGTCGGAGTCGGTGGAGGACGGGATGGGTTAGAACAGGCTTCACGGGTGTGGCATGGGGGCAATGAGATGTCGGGCGCCCAGTTTACGTGTGGCGCATTTCTCCTGGAGGGCTGGTCGTTCCACGAAGCAAAGGAGTGACAGAAATAATGACAGAAGCGAGAGGTTTGGGTCTCGAACAATCAAAGCGACGAATCGAGCTACACAGGCCAGAAGCGACAACTTGGTGCACAGAGTGTCTGGTGTTGTGCGGCTGGCCTGGTTACCGCTTCCGCAAGAACCAGCTAGCTACAGCAGGTACCCGTACATACAGTAAGTTCCAAGGTTGGTAGGTAACAGGTAACAAGTGAAGAGTGCCGGCAGCTCCTGAGGTAAGTATGTAAGAGTTGTTCATGCGCCAAACAGCCCGTGAAATGGCTGCGAGGTGTGACCAGTCTGCGGACTTAATTAGACGTAATTAAGTAGGTACACAGTACCTAGGTAGTGGCTGTCAGCTGGCATGCACCTGTCGTATGAACTGCTTGGCATCTGTGACGTGGCTCTCTGAAATCATACCTCAGCTAGGTAAGGTCCCGATGGAGTCATAACGCGGAGTGACCCCTTTTCACTGCGCTGATCTTGTAGTCTCGCCGTATCTCAAATCACTACCTACTGCCATTGAAAGCCCTACATATACCTACCAGCTTCTGTCCATCGCTCCATCGAAAGCCACAGCCAACAGGTCTATCACTCTCTCAGCAGCATTTAGACGAAGTCTCGCATCTTACGAGGTATGGTGAATAATGAGCAATCGGGAAAGCGAACCGGCTAAGGATTAAGTTTCAGCTTAATATCGCTGTCTCGTCATGTCGACGCAACTAGGTGCAACGATGAGCTGACTAATCATTAGGTAGGTATGAAGGCAAGATAAAATAGCTGACATGGACTCGGATGCGGTTTACCTGAAACCTGAACTCCAGATGAATGATCAGGAGGCCTAGTTCTATATTCCCAAGTATATATTACGTACACCTAATACACTCAATGCTCATTTGAATTTCCCGTGACCTATCCCTAGACCTGGTATCCGATTAGCTGGGTCCAGCACCACCTTCAGTATGGTTGTTTCCGTCTAACAACAGTTTTGGTTTGATATAATCCTCATCAAGTTGTCGGAATAGAGCCTGAGGATCTTGCGTCGTGAATAGCTGCTTGATTGCTGACCTGGTAGAAAGAGGGGGGGCAGGTCTCTGTCCTGATGTCGGGTATGAAAATACACCTTCCTCTTCGGATGCACCGCTCGCTGTCAATTCAGGACTTGACCTGCTTCTTGGTGACCTGCGGGCAGGTGGAGGGAGATCCGAGGTATCTATATCGCTGCCAACTTCCGAGTCTGTTAGGCTGGCAGCTTGTCCAAGGAGATCCGATCTCTCCAGCTCATCGCCTCCTCCCAGACGCGAGTTCTTCCGGCTTAAGCTTGTTGCACGCGAGTGCGGCATTGGTGAGCGGTGTCCTGACACATAACTGCCTCGCTCAGGACCTGTATTGCGTCTACCGTTGGCAGCATCCATTCTGTCCATCCGTACAGATCCATTCCTTTGTCGTGGGTTGAATCCAAGGCCGGTACCAGACCTTTTATAGTACGACCCTCCTGGGGTTGCTTCAATGTCAAATTCATCGTCACTGTCCACCTCCTCTACAACACCAGTTCTGATGCCTAAAATCTCCAACATTCGAGCCGTCGTTCCACCAAAAATGATCACCGTGAGCACTACCACAACCAGGACTGTAGCCTTCAAGGCGTAGGAATTATCACCAGATAATAGGGCCGCTAAGGCGACACCAACAGCACCACGCAAGCCAGCCCAGAAGAGCATAGCTTGGTAGCTATAGGGTAGTTCATCGCTAACTTCCCTACCCTGACGGCGGGCGCGATAGTGATGGTACCAATTGATGGCTTTAGATAGCGGAAAGACTGCTACCCATCGCGCTGCACAAACAGACACTACAGTTACGATAATAAGCAGTGGTTGAAACTGCAGCTCATTGTCCGTGAACAGCGACAGGCCTAAATAGATGAAAATAAAGTTCTCAGATAATTGGGCCATAATCTGGAAAAAATACTTGGTACTCAGCTGCGTTCGCCGAGACATGTTAAAGTAGGCGTAATGTTTCAAAGTAATGCCACAAAATAGCAAAGAAACAATGCCTGGCCAAGTTTTAGTGTGTTTTCAACCCATAAGTCATTTGTAGAATTTAAGTTACCTGACATTCTCACAGCTTGTGAGAAGAAGTAGCTCGCGTAGGTGATCAGCACAATCAAGCAAGTCTCGATATGTGGATACCTCCTTACGTAGGTGAATTTGAGAACCAGTGCTGTGCCAACACCGACAACGACGCCGATACCTAAGCTGCCAAAGAAGCTCAGTAGAAAAGTGCCTATACCCTTGATGAAGCTCAAAAAGCCGTAGGCACCAGCATCCTCGCCTCTATATGCTTGTGCCGTCTCGAAAATAACGATTGCGATAGCGTCGTTGAGTATGGATTCACCAAAAATAACTGTATATAGCTTCGGATCGACCTTGTAGGTGTTGAAGATGGCTAAAATGGTTACAGGGTCAGTAGCAGATAAAGTCGCGCCCACCGATATAGCGTCGTTAAAGGTCATGTCAAATCCTTGAGGTATCCGTGTATACAGCCATAGCAGAAGCCCGATGACGACAGCAGATAGGAACGTGCCGGCGAAGGCAAAAACTAAGATGGTGCCTATATTTCGAAAAAAATTGCCCTGATGCAGCTCATACCCGGAGTTGAGGATGATCGGCGGAAGCAGGAGGTTGAAGAAGATCTGATAGTCGAAACTGATGAGGGTGGGAATGCCAGAGTCGGAGGTTACTCGAAGGATTAGGCCTACGGTCATCCCTAGCGAACACAGTCAGCCCTTGGTGCCTTTGTTCCGACGAGAATCATGACTGACCAGCGAAGATGGAAATGACGGTTTCATGCACTGCCTGGACCTTCTTCTGCTGCAGCGTGTAGCTGGTGAAGAAGGCGATTATGAGAAGCACGATGGAAATGAAGAGGGCCCATGATGAAGTTATTTCCTTCTCTCCCGAGTCCTTGTCTGTTGCCATTGTTAGATGATTTCGGAACAGTGAGGTAGATGCGAAAGAGTACGATCCGTACCACCGGGGTCTAATTCTTCGTCGGCACGTCCTAGATAGATGGGCGCGTCAGTCAGTCAGTCCATGTTCACAGTTGGGAACTGGCAATGAGTCGCATCGCCAGTCAGACATACGGGCAAGCTCCAGACCAAAACCGGCGAGTTGCGACAACATGTTGGCGAGGTCGCGGCGAATTCAAAAAGGTCGAAGCGAGTGCCGGCGCAAATAATGCGTCTTCCAGGTTCCGCCTTACCCGGAGCTCTATGACAGCGACTTGTCAAGGCATCAAATGTCGGGGCAGGATGGAATCATTTGACGATCAGAGTGTCGCTAACGACAGCAGAGGCGGAGAGGCGTGAAAATGATAGTTTCAATTCGAGACACGACTAGACTAGGTAGAAAGGCTACACTAGCATGTATGGATAGTGGTAGGTTATCGACAGCTTTCATCTTTACAATTTCGGGCAGTTAGGTAGTTGATCGGTCGCTGTAAGGCGGCGGGCTGCGGGCTGTAGGCGGCGAGTTGCAGCATCAGGCTGCGGCGCCGCTGCGCCAAACCAAACTACTGTGTCGGATAGTGTACCTATTACTACCTAGGTACTTAGGTAGGTATAAGTATATAGGTACCCCACATTTCCTTCTGTATATAGGCACCTACCTAAGGCACGCTTACCGAAGGTAGGTAAGTACCTAGGTAAGTAGTAATGGGACTTAGAAGATGAACCAGCGTTGTGGCACCAGTGTAGTGGTACTTACCTAGGTACTTAGAGTTCAGAATTCAAGACTATGTGTAGGCCTCGCATTACGTAGCAGACAGTCGTTTGGATAAGACATAAGAGAGGGACGTGGCATGATGTTTTGGTTTACCTACAATAAGTACATAAGGTAGATATCATAGGTACACCCACCGGACAGATAAATCCGTGCACTCTGATTTTAGACCCACCACCACCACTACCACTACCACCTAATAACCCCTTTATGTATAGCTTCATATAACCAGAACTATTGAAGTAAAAATTGTATAGAAAATACTGGTAAACTCTACAGCTTCTGCTCTTTAATATGATGTGTACCATTCATATGCGCGGCGTACGGCGAGTAGTTTTTTATTCAATGAACGTATAAGAAGGTTTAAAGTGGTAGTATTGGTATACTGGGTCTAAAATTAGAGTGCACGGATTTATCTGTCCGGGCATTGAGGAGGTAGGTAGGTACTACCTAGGTAGGTATATTGAATATCTATAACCAAAAGTGTAAGTTTATAAACCCCGCCAATATACCTAAGTACCTACCTGGTACCTACTTACATGTACCTGGGCGCCGTGAGTCGCGTAAAAGAGGTTAGGAGACATACTACCTACGAAGCCAGTGGTAGACTGTAGTTAGGGGGATTTCTGACATCGTCACGTCATCGGCCAGCCCAGCCAGCTCAGCTGCGCACTCAACTTACCTCAAGATGTACACAACTCCATTTACCCGCCTTACCATTCTTTTCAACAACGATTGTCGCGCAACCTCTTCTCCGTCAAAGGTATCAACACTAGCTGCATACAGATCGTGTACAAGCAGTCCGGGAGAAGAGTGATGAATATCAATAGGCAACCCACCAACATCTTCACTATACACATGACCTGAGCCTTAATCGCCGACAATCCTCTGCCCTGGAATTCCACATATTTCGGCCCCAACGCTTTTATGCTCGTCTAACCGCCGAAAAAAAAAACGAAAGAGCGTCCCGAACACCATTAGGTGTCCGCTTTATCCTACTCCATGAGCTCGTCATCCTCGAGGTCCGTCAGGAGTGTGATCACGCCTAGCCCTATAGCCACTTCATCAACTAGCAATAAACCCGACGCCGAATCGACAGCCCAGGGCGCCATACAACGACACCATAATGTGGACGGCGATGCTATAGACGAGCAATCTCCTCTCTTGTCTCCTCATGGAGAGGAACAAGCGCCTTTCATAACACCACCCGCTGACAGCCAACACCACCACCAACAAGACGACCATCCCCACGAAACAAAGAGCGTCTGGTATCTGATTGCACTGACAATATGCTTGGGAGGTCTTCAAGTCGCTTGGGCTGTCGAGTTGTCCAACGGCACGCCCTACCTTCTGTCTCTCGGGTTGAGTAAATCACTTATGGCGCTTGTTTGGATCGCTGGTCCCGTCACTGGTACACTCGTCCAACCCTACGTCGGCATGTTAAGTGACAACTGCCGCGTATCTTGGGGAAGACGCAAACCATTTGTCCTGGGCGGCGCCGCCGCCACGTCGCTTGCGTACATGTTTCTCGCCTGGATAAGGGAAATCGTCGGAGGTTTTCTCGGCTTGTTTGGTGCAGATCCTCAGTCTGCCGGTGTGAAGACTACTATTATCATCATCGCTGTCATTTGGATATATGTCCTTGATGTCGCGGTTAACACAGGTTTGTCACAAAGCTCTTGTTGACTACTCACTATGGATATGTCGAGAGATCGCGATTAGCGTCTAACATAGCGACAGTTCAAGCCTCAATTCGAGCTTTCATCGTCGATTGTGCACCATCACACCAACAAGGTTAGACGATTTCAATGTTGCCTTTGACACAAAAACTGATAGTTAAACAGAAGCTGCAAATTCGATGGCTAGCAGAGTTGTTGGACTTGGTAACGTCATTGGTTATATCGCTGGCGGCATAAATCTGCCTAGGTATGTCTGGTTTTTTGGGTCTACCCAGTTCAAGGATCTTTGCGCTATCGCCAGTATAGCGTTATGCTCTACCGTCCTATTCAGTACGACAGTTATCCGAGAGCGAAATCCACGACTCGACGGACGACCGTCCGAAGGCCGACTTGGGTTGCTTTCTTTCTTTGTGAAGATCTTTGCTGCGATCAAAAGACTGCCGCCACAAATTGCAAAAGTGTGTGTTGTGCAATTCTTCGCCTGGGTTGGCTTCTTTCCGATGCTCTTTTACACTTCTTCGTACATTGGCGATATCTATGTCCAACCTTATCTTGAAGAGAACCCTCATATGACCCCTGCAGAGTTGGATGAGCTATACGAAAGAGCAACGCGCATGGGCACACATGCACTACTAATATTTGCTATTACCAGCCTCGTAACAAATGTGGTGCTCCCATTCTTCATCGACCCCACTTACGACACTGCCAGCAAGCCTCCAGGTCACGACCATGAATTGGATGCTGATGAGGCCTCGACCGTCAGCAAGTGGCTGCAGCATCTTGTTATTCCTGGATTCACGCTTCGCCGAGCATGGATGTTTTCACATATTCTGTTTGCAGTATCAATGTTTTCGACACTCGTTGCTCGGTCGATTGAGGCTGCCACGGCCTTAATTGGGCTCATTGGGATCACATGGGCCTTGACACTCTGGGCTCCGTGGGCAATCATTAGTGCTGAAATCAGTCACCGTCAAGTCATGTATCAGGCGGCGCGACAGCAGCTGAGACATATTACACACGCTGCCAACGACACTCCCTCTAGTCCCTTAGTTAATAATGGACGGCAATCATCGGAGAATGAGCGAGAGCCGGATCAAGCTGGAGTCATTCTCGGCATTCACAACATGGCCATTGCTTCGCCACAGATGATCGCGACTCTAGGGTCAAGTATCATTTTCCGATTTTTCCAGAAGCCGAGAGGTGTCCCTGGGGATCACAGCTATTCTATTGTCCTAGCCAGTGGAGGTGTGTTTGTACTATTCGCAGCATACCTTGTCCATAAGATTGAAGACAATGCATCTCCTCTACCGGAGAACGCCGCTATATACGCAACAGAAGAAGGTGAGCCCATACCATCTAGGAAACACAGCGTCGAAACGTCAAGGGCGAGTTTAGAACAAGCGACCATAGCCAGAAGCAGCAGTTTCGGTGGAGGGCTCGAATATTGAGGTTATTGACATGTATAGCTTTCATTTGAAGACATGCTGGAAGTTATCTACAGGCGTGGACTTGAACGAAACTATTGACGCGGCTTACATTCATTATGTCAGGGTCTACAGCCGATACTTATGAAAGCTGTCAAACGATTATGACTGTAGATGACAGACTGAATGTGAATACATTGTTTAGTCCTAAGGCATACGTTAAATGAAACGGCCATTCCATGCACTCATTAGCTTAAGAACTACTCATCGATTACTATATATTAGTGCCAGGCCATGTATTCTCAGTAAACCCAAGTTCATGTCATCGCTAGGTACGAGATGGTCGTCAAACCGACTAGGTGATTCATGCAGCTTCATACCATACTTTCTTCTAGGCTAAATCCAACGGCGGCCGCGTCCCTTAATGGGCATTCTGATAGGCCCGCAAATGTGTTCGGAAGACCGTGTCCGAGACTGCTCTAACCCTTCAGGCCGTAAACATGATTACCTAGGTTCTAACAATATCGTCTACCTAGAGAACGCGGTCCGCCCAGCCTATCTAATATTAGTTCTAGCCTTGAATGACTGCAGTCAATGGAAAGCGGCGGTAACAGAGCCTGCAGTTCTCCAGCCCGTTGAGAGACCGTTAAACTGCTCACTTCTCTTAATATATAACAAGCCCCCGTTCGGGATTACTTTAAAAGCATGAGGCCTGTCCGATCTTTTGGCTACTTCCTAGGCTGTGTCTCAGTCTAATTCTCGCCTTGACAGCCTGGACCACATCGACCGCCACGCAGCTCCGAGGTATCCGTTCTCTCCGCTGGTTTCGACGCAATGAAGGCTTTTATGGTTTCTGTGGCGCTGGCGCACCTTGCCCAGGCAGCAGTGATATGGGATGGGCGATTCAACGAGTTCACCTCGTCAACCGACCTGAACAAGTGGTCATGGGCGAACCAGTCAGTGCCCTGGAATTATTAAATTCCTCCTTGGGCCGATTTCGGCCTCATTGCTCCTGAATTTTTCCAGAATATGTGTTGAAATCCTACGCCTTCTTGTAATATCTGACTCGAGCGTGTAAACAGAGTTGGGCCATACCAATACTACATCCACGGCTCTTCCAGCGTGGACAAATACGTCAATCTCTCCCCGAACTTCAAAAACCCGGCCGATACTGTGTCAAAGCAAGGAGCTAAGTTCACACTTGACTCGACGGCATTTTGGAATGGTCAGAACATGCGACGCACAGAGTACGCACGCAGGCCGCTCCACCTGTCCTTCCCCCTGTTTTCCTCTTCAATTTATATCGATATTTATGAACAAATGAACATCAACAATCATAATCATTATCTAACGTTTCTACCCCTCATTGCGATAGACTGATCCCCCAGACCAAGGCAGCCATCAACAGCGGCAAAGTGTACTATCACTTTTCGATGATGCGCAAGGACACCAACGCGCCGAGCGTAAATCGTGAGCACCAGATCTGCTTCTTCGAGTCGCACTTTGTCGAGATGAAGTCCGGCTGGATCTCAGGCGAGTCTGGCACCTCAAACCCAAACCTACAATTCATGGTCTCGCAGAACTCGAAGTGGAAAACAGAGTGGAAGGCGAATGTGTGGTATAAGTAAGCTGCTACTCCTGAAGTTCGTTTTGTTCCATTGTTGGGCGCTCATGGAGGCATTCATACATAACTCCTGAAACCTGCTCCCGTTTTACCTAGAAGAGTTACTGACGCCAGCGCAACTATAGTATTGCCTATGAGATAGTGAGTTTTCTCAATTTCGCACATGTTAACCGTTCTTCATCGGCCTCTTAAGACAACTTTCCTAACGCGCGTGGATATACACAATATATATAACCGCTCTTTCAGCACGTTCTCCCCATTAAATATAAGTTCACACTGACTTGTTACTATCTCGCCTGCTTCATAGGACTTCAGTAGGAATACAGTCGGCTTCTGGGAGTCGGAGGGCGCCAACCCGCTCAAGCAGGTGGTAGCACCCGTATCAGCATCGACTTCTTCCAACGGTGCCGACTGGCATCTAGGCGTCCTCGAGGTGGGTGCTTCTAAACTCTATTTCTCTTCTCTTTGGCGTGTATTGAGAACGTGGATTGGCCAAATACCTATGGACTAGTCCTATCTCACATACAACTTTTACATAGTATTCCATTGAGACTACATACTTATTATAACTCCTAACACTCTATATTGAATATAGCTACCGCGCTCTGGATACTCCGACACTACTGAGGATTTCTACTTCTCTGGCGTCTATATTGAATCCGGTTCCATCACTACCACTATCGGTGGTCCCAGTAAGTTGATATATGATTCATGTCTATAAAACGCTGGCTATGATTGGGGCATGTTTAGACTAACGACACGGCAATAGCTGCGTAAGTATCGAGCCCGACTGCTCGACGGCCTAGGCATGAGTCTTGGCTTGAGTGTTCCGCTCAACGATGCTGGGTGATAAATTTGATTAGGCACGCGAGTTGAAAACGATGGTGTCAGCTGCAAGTGGTTTTGTAGAGTGCTTATTTTAAACATATTCTATGGAGTGCATATTTGGCGCCCTCAATAACATTCCACAGTGGCAGTATGACACTCATTCAATTATAGTATCACAAGGCATGACAAACAGTGACTGTAGAACGTATTTTGAAACTGAGCAGCAAAGCCGCATTCACGATCTTAGGGTTACAGACAGAGAGACTCGCTGTATATACCTCTAGCCTAGGCATAGAGGCTTCTTAGAGACCTTCGTGCACAACAAATATCACTACAGTGCCTCATTCTTGCAGTTCAAACAGTCAGTCGTGGGAAACCATTACAGGCTTTTGAACCGTCACATCCCAGCTTGTCCGTCCATTTCACCAACCATAGGTTGGTATTGTTCTCTCCTTCCGTATCCCGAACGAATAACTCCTATATGGCGAGAACGGACTCGAAAAGTAGACCCCCCAACTCTCAAGATTCCATTGCCATTAGCTAAGCAGAAAGAACAAGCAATGAACATGGTAGAAGAGACCCGTTCAGGCTCAGGGATAGTGACAATACGAAAAAGGGCGGCTCGTTGTATGATGCAGCTGCTCAGCGATTTGAAAGAAGGCTGTCAGTAAGTGTGGAGTAAGGTACACTCTAAACCTCTGATTATAAGTATTACCAATATCCCCCTAGGTCTTTAACTATAGATCTTTACCTTTTAATTATCCTAAATATAACTTATATTGCTATTATATGTATATATCCCTATTCCTTTTAATAGGTTATAAGCTTAGAATAGCTTACCTATATTGTTTTTAATTTAAACGATTATTAAATAGTTATCCCTTAACTTTTCTTTAACTTTTTTTAAAGCTATTCCTCCAAGATTATAAACTTTAATTAAATTTACTATTAGATGATATATACGATAATTTTTAAAGCTAAAATAATATTCCTAAAAATTAGGATAATTTATAATAAATATAATACTAATATATAATAAAATTCCTAATTATTATATTAATTAATAAAAATATTATAGGAATTATTAATCCTTTATAAAAGATAAAACCCCTTATAAGGGCATTTTTAACTTTAATTTATTAATTTTTATATTTAAAAGAAATTAAAACTAACTTAAAATATTAATAATTAGTTTAACTATTAAATTCCTAGCCTTAATTACCTTTTTAAATATTTAAGCTATAAATCCTTATTATATTAATTGTATCATAATTGGAGGTTTAGGGTATAGCTATATTAATGCTATAGACGAAGATTTTAAGCTAAAGGAAAAAGGAAGGAAAGATAAAACTAAAATATAAGCATACATAGAAATATATATATACCAATAGCTATTATAGGTTATATAACCTTATTGGTATAGGTCTCGCATATCTCTACAATATCCCTTTATAGTATATATAATATTCCGGTATAGTATATATTTAATATATTTGTTATACTTTATAATACATATAATATTTTAATATAATATATATTTAATACGTTCGTTACACTTCCCCCTATTAAAATTAAAACACAAGTATAAAATAGATTAAAGAATTACTTATAACATCTGGTTTTAATTATAATGCTATTTCGTATAGCAACATTATCGTTAAAATAATTAGCAGTAAATTTATCAGCTATTATAACTCTTATCTATTTATTTAACCGTTTAAATAGTCCTAATACGTTAGGCTATCTTTTATAGAACTTTTATATTTTAACTAATGAATTCTTAAAATTCTTTACCGGGTACTAGGTATTGTTAAGGTTATAACCTTTCTAAATAACTTAATATTATAGCATTTTATTATACCTTATTATTCATAATTTAAATAGTTATTTAACTTTCTATTTTAATCCTTCTTTAATATTTTTAAGTTTTAATAATAGTTAGGTTTATTAAGGTAATAGATCTTTACTTACTTTATATAATCGATTTATATAAAAAAGGTTAATCATCTTTATTAACTTTAAAAGGTTTAATATATAGCTATATCCTTTCTTTTTAAATATTTTAAAGGGTTTAACCTATTAGGAATTTAATTAAATAGTTAAAATAATTAATTATAAAGCTTTTCTTTTTTAAAAAAAACCTTATTTCCTATATAAAAGTTTACTAAATATTACTTTTTATTTACCTATATTTTTTACCTTTTTTATATAGCTTTTACTACTTTATAAATTGCCTTTTATACCTTATAGGTTTATTATATTAATTGTTAGGCCAGCTTTTCTAATATTATCTTTTTAACAATATTTAATAAAGGTAATAATAAAGGGTTCCTTATATTAGTTTCCATTAGGACCTTTAATAATACTATATTAATAGCTAAATATTAAAAGGCATTATATATAAAATCCAATATAAATAAATAAAGGCTCCAATTATTTTAATATTTATTAATATAAAAGTATAACTATTAATTTAACTTTTAATTTATAAACTTTATAGCTTTTTACATTTAAGGGTAAAGGGTATTTTTATACCGGTATTTAATAAAGGTTAACTTATTAATCTTTATTAAAAAGTATAAAATAAAAGGTCTTACATTATTTAAAATCTATACCTTTAAAAAACCTAAAAAATGGTAAGCATATTTATAATATTAATATATTACATTTTCCGCTATATTGTTTTTCTTATTAAATATTATAATTAATAAATAATTAAATTTATTAATAAATACTTATATATAATTATAGCTATACTTATTTAAGGGTATATCTTTTCCGTTAACTATAATATAGCATTAAATAGCTATAAGGATTAATAATAGGTATAATAATTTAAATATTTTATTTTAAAAGATCTTATTTTATTAATAATTATAATAATTATAAATATATATTTAAATATTTTATTTTAATAAAGGTTAATAATAATCCTATTTAATTATTTTAATATATTTATTTTGCTTAAGGTAAATAGCAATTATTGGATAGTAAGCTTCCTTAATTAAAGCTATTTAAAAATAAACCTTTAAGTTAAAGGTTTACTTTAAAATAATTAACTAATAGTTTTTATATCCTAAACCTTATTTTTCGTTTTTTTGTTAAATTAAGTTTATTAAGTTAAAGCTATATAATATTACTGCCTTCTTTTTTATAATAATTACCAGCCCTTTTAAAGCTTTAAGTAGGATTAGGGCTATATTATATTCTTTAGCTTCGTAAGCTTTAATGGTTAATAGGTTAACTATCTTACGGAATAATACATCTACTATTACATTTTTTTGGTTAGGCTAGTATTAAAAGGTAATATTAAAATTAAATAAAAAGTTTACCCATTTTACTTATTTTATAAAAAGGATTCTTTTAATAATAAAATATAGTAGGGCTTAATAATTAATTATTATAAAGAACTTTATACTTAATAGCTTTAAATAATTATACTTTATAATTTAAATTATAGCTAATAATTCTTTATTCTATATAAAATAAACTTGCTTGGTTAATAATATAGTTTTTAAAAAGTACTCTATAGGCTTCCAAATGCTATTTTTTTTATTATTATTAAATAGCTCTACTAATAGCATTCCAAAAAGCGTTAGTTTTAATTTTAATAGGTTAGCTAAATTAAAAGAAGGTTAACATTAATGCTTTATAAGCTAACTTCTTTATTAATTTAAAAGCTTTATATTATTTATTACTTATTTTAAATAATATACCCTTTTTAAATAAATAGTTTAAAGGTTTAACTATATTATTAATATAATATATAAATATTTAAATAAAGTTATATAGCTTTAAAAACGAACGGATAGTTTAAATATTAATTAGGTTTTTAAAATTCCAATTAATAATAGCATTTATCTTTTTAAGGTTTATTTAAATACCTTATCTAACCTTTAAAATTATACTTAAATAATTTATAAAAGTTATATTAAAATGGAACTTTTTTATATTTCCTTAAAGCTTAATATTATAAAAGTAATATATTATTTTCTTATATTATTCTTAATGCTCTTTTTTATTATTTATAAATATTAAAACATTATTAATATAAGTATTAATAAAAAGGTTAAATAATTTATATAGCTAGGAATTAATAAAGTTTTACCATTAAGCAGGGCTAATCTTTAATCTAAAAGGTAAAACTAACTATTAAAACACTTCTTATTAGGTCCGGAATATTATTAAATATTAAAATTTTAAAGCTATCTTTAATCTATAAAAAGCTTTAATAATATTAAGCTTAATATAACGTTTAACCCTTCGGCTATTATATATAATACTATTTAAATTTAATATTAGGATAATACAGTCTTTTAAATATTTATTTTTTCATTAATAATTAATATAAAACCATCTTTTAATTAAATTTGGTTTAAAGGTAAAAAGAATAAAGGAAGCATTTACTTTTATATAGGGTTTAATAAAGCTATAAGTTAATAATTTATTTATTATTTCTTTTTTTAATAGTAGGTATTAAATTAGAATTTAATATTAAAGGGGGCTATTTAAGGGGTTATTAATAATAATTTTAAAAACTATATTATATCCCAATTATAATAAGGATAACTTATTAACTTCCACTTTTAAAAAAAACCCTTTTAAATAAGCTAACTCCTTAAGGATTAAATAATAAACTAATTTAATATATTTAAAGTTTTTGTTTTATAAAAAGGGAATATACTTATTATTAAAGGTCTTTTAAATCTTTTTTAATATTATTATAACTACCTTTAAGGCCGCTTTAATAAATTTAATAGGTATTAATTTATTTAGGAATACCCTTTTCCTTTATTGTTTCCATTTAAGGTTTAATTTAATCTTTTTAATAAGTTGTTAAATAATCCTTTCGTTTCAAAATTGCTTTATCTTTAAGCTCTCCAGTTAAATGTTTTTTCGGAAGTATATGGCCGGTTACTTTAAAATAATATATTTCTTTTTTAAAGCAATATCCCTTTAGTTAGCATCCTATTAAATAACGGAATTAATTTATTAATCGTTAAGAAACTTTTATATAATTTTAATTATAAGTAAGAATAGGGTAAAGGGAAATAAATCTTTTAACTAATGTAATATTTAATGGATATAATTTAAAGTAACTTTATTTTTAGCTAGCTACTTTAAATTAATTATAACATTATATTTAATATTAATAACCTAAAAGGTTTAATCCTTAAACCTTTATCCGTTTACTTTTAAAGTAGTAATAAGGTATTAATTAATTATATTAATAAGTTATCCTTAATAATTATTTAATTATTATAGTTATTTTAAAGTGGTTAACCTAACCTTTAATTAATGGCTAATATAGTAAGCTAATTTATAATTAATTATTAAATATATTTAAGCTTTAATATTATATAATATAATAGCTTTTATTTTAAAATTATTTATTTATATTTAAATAGGGTATATAAATTAAATAGTATTTTAACTACTTTTTATATAGGTTAAGGATAATTTATAAACTATTAAGGAATTTTTTAATAGTTTAGTTAATTTTTTAATTTAGATTTAATAGAAAAGAAGTTAATAGGCTTTTCTTCATTTTCTTTATTTTATATTTAAGCTATATTTTTACTCTTTTTAAAGCAATCTATAATGTAGTATCCTATTTTGCTATAGTTAAAGCAGGTATTATTCTTCTAATAGGTTTTTTTCT